GCTGCTTGCCTGCTGCTGCTGGCCGCTGCTGCTGCTGCCCGCTGCTGCTGGCCTGCTGCTGCTGCTGCTGGCCTGCTGCTGCTGCTGCTGCTGCTGCTCTGCTGCTGCTGCTCTGCTGCTGCTGCTGCTCTGCTGCTGCTGCTCTGCTGCTGCTGCTCTGCTGCTGCTGCTCTTCTGCTGCTGCTGCTCTGCTGCTCTGCTGCTGCTGCTCTTCTGCTGCTGCTGCTCTGCTGCTGCTGCTCTTCTGCTGCTGCTGCTCTGCTGCTGCTGCTCTTCTGCTGCTGCTCTTCTGCTGCTGCTGCTCTTCTGCTGCTGCTCTTCTGCTGCTGCTGCTCTGCTGCTGCTGCTCTGCTGCTGCTGCTCTTCTGCTGCTGCTGCTCTTCTGCTGCTGCTCTTCTGCTGCTGCTGCTCTTCTGCTGCTGCTCTTCTGCTGCTGCTGCTCTTCTGCTGCTGCTCTTCTGCTGCTGCTGCTGCTTCTGCTGCTGCTCTTCTGCTGCTGCTTCTGCTGCTGCTCTTCTGCTGCTGCTTCTGCTGCTCTTCTGCTGCTTCTTCTGCTGCTCTTCTGCTGCTGCTTCTGCTGCTCTTCTGCTGCTGCTTCTGCTGCTGCTGCTGCTGCTTCTGCTGCTGCTGCTGCTGCGGCCGCCGCCGCCGCCGTGCCATCAACCAGCCTCCAAGGCGAGAAACCAACAGCCAGACATCTTTTTCGAAACTCACTCGAAACAGCAAAACACCACCTAATTTCGTGCCAAAAATGGCGCAAAATCGCAGCAAAAAAGTGCCTAACGTGTCTTCTGAAATCCTAGAGAATCCTAGACTATACATCCTAGAAAATCTCCCACTATATATAGTACTGTATAGTACTGGCTGCCTGCTGGCTGCTGCAAAAACGTGGGTCCCGGACAGGGAAACACCATAGCAGTGAAGGACGGAGGCAGCTGCAGCTGCCGCTGCTGGTGCTGTCGTCCGCTGATGCTGCTGCTGCTGCTCTTGCTGTTCCTGCGCTGCTGCTGCTCCTGCCGTGCCATCAACCAGCCTCCAAGGCGAGAAACCAACAGCCAGACATCTTTTTCGAAATTCACTCGGAACAGCAAAACACCACCTAATTTCGTGCCAAAAATGGCGCAAAATCGCAGCAAAAAAGTGCCTAACGTGTCTTCTGAAATCCTAGAGAATCCTAGAGAATCCTAGACTATACATCCTAGAAAATCTTAGACTATATATAGTACTGTATAGTACTGGCTGCCTGCTGGCTGCTGCAAAAACGTGGGTCCCGGACAGGGAAACACCATAGCAGTGAAGGACGAAAACAGCTGCAGCTGCACGCTGCTGGTGCTGTCTTCTGCTGCTGCTGCTGCTGCTCTTGCTGTTCCTGCGCTGCTGCTGCTCCTGCCGTGCCATCAACCAGCCTCCAAGGCGAGAAACCAACAGCCAGACAGCTTTTTCGAAACTCGTCGTCGTAGTAGTAGTAGTAGTGTAGTAGTGTAGTAGTAGTAGTAGTAGTAGGAGTAGTAGTAGTGGTAGTAGTGGTAGTAGTGGTAGTAGTGGTAGTAGTGGTAGTAGTGGTAGTAGTAGTAGTAGGAGTAGCAGTAGCAGTAGCAGTAGCAGTAGCAGTAGTAGTAGCAGTAGTAGTAGTAGTCCGACAAGAGTCAAATGTCTTATTCCCTGGCGCGCTCCCCCTTGCGTCTGCCGGGGTCGGCGGATATTACATGCATCAAGAAAAATTATTCAGTTCTTGGAAACTAGGAAGCCTTGAGTCCATCGCTTTGCCATGTCAAATGTTTTCAGGCTGGATCCCGACAATGTGAAAGCGCTTTACCGAAGAGCGGAATCCAGAATAAGGCAGCAAAAGAGAAAAGAGCCACAGAGATATGCGTTTTTTTGTTGTTTTTTCGGTCTGCATGGATGTCCATTCGGTAACAGGCCTGTCAAAGCTACGGCCTATGACCATGACTTGGCCATCAAGGAGACTCTTTGAAACAAGACATGTTTCAAGAATCCATCAACTCAAAAGAATTTATTTGATGTCATTGTCATCAAAAGTATCTCCAGGAAGGATATCAATTTGTGTGTTCCGTGTGTTCTTAGTATCAAAGCTTCAACTTTTCAACTTGGCAGGATTTAGCCCAAGCAAATCGCCTGGATCCTTCGAACCAAACTGTGGAGCGCCTCCTCGTAAGGCTTGGTGCATTTCCACTGCCATGATGGAAATATGATATAATATGATGACATATGTTTAAGCAATATGATCTAAGATGATAAGATGATCTATAGTGGCCAGAATGGGTGAAAGCCCAACAGAAAATGGTGAAGAAAAGTACTTAGAGATGTTGGAGATCAGATAGGGGATATGTCCTGCCATTGTTTCCCTCTGTGAACTCCTGAACGGCAATTCGCAATACAGTCAGTTGAGTGGTTGTTGGAAGGGCATCTAAGCCATAGTAATCCATAGTATGCAAGAGGAATAAACTGGGTGCGATATGTCCTGTGACCGCTCGATGAAGAACTTGTTCGAGAAATCAACACCACGGCAGGCTCCGGTCAGAGCGCCGCGTGCAGCGAGAGAAGGACTGTGGGCACTCATGGCACCAGCCATTCCGTTGCAACTTTCACGGCCAAAATCTCCAAAATCATCTGGAAAATTCATTGTATATTGTATATGATTCTACAAAATTGTTGCGGATTCAAAACTTTGACTCACGGGTGAGTTTTTGCAGTTTTGGGGAATGACATTCCAGCTCTGAGGATGCCAAGACGTTCACGGGCATGTTTGATCGTGGGCAGATCTATGACAAGGTCGCAAGAGACGTCGCAAGAGACGTCGCAAGAGACGGCATTGAAAATGAAAGTTGAAGTTCCATGGACTCCCAAACCAACTTTGACAGTACCTAGTTTGAGTGAGTCTTGATTTTTTTTGTTGCAGCGATGTTCAAATTCTATTCAAATTGTGACATCCAGTGAACAGCAACTGTCATAGACGAGTCATAGTGGACATCGATGAACATCGATGAACATCGATGAACATCGATGAACATCGGCGATGACCTTCCAGTGATGCCTTGCACGGAGGTCCTACAGGAGGCCAAAGCGGCTGCAGCCTCGTCGAAGGGCGGCTCGCTGATCTCCAGTGGTGCGCCCATGCAGCACGACAGTGCACGACATGTTAAAATACGACGATAGATATCCTCGGCTGCTCTAAGTGATATAAGTAATTCATTTAAAGTCGTTCAAAGTTATTCGAAGTTATCTGAAGTTGCTGTAGGATTGGCAACCTGTCTCTTGCCCTGTGTTCTATCGCCCACTGGTCAGGAGCAACCTACGATGACTTGGAAAAGAGAATAGAGCAGATTTCTGATGAGGAGTTCTGTAAAGGGACACTGGCTCTTGACTTCGAAAGTGTCTTTTCCCAAAGGAATCGGGGATCAAGTTGATTACAAATTTGATCGAGACAGGTTTTGTATGTGTAATTGTCAGGATCCTCTTGAAAAGAGAATCCAAGATGCTGAGCTGTTGCGCGACCTCTATGTTCGGAATGGCAAGGAGCACTGAGTTGCGGACTAAAAATCGCATGTTTGGAACAGATTCCCCTTTGATCCTTCCATGTTTTGATGTTCAAAGGGATGGAATCCAATAAAATCGTAAAGGGGAAAGCTCCTTTGTGGGTAGCCCCTTGGGAGATTTGCATACGCATTAACTCCTTGTTAAGGCTTTGTTAAGGCATGTTAAGGCCTTGATTAGGAAGCGACAAAATTACTGAAAATGAGCTATTGCGTGCTTCTTTTGTTCGCTAGAAACAGGTGTAGAGCTTATATGAGCTGATATATTGATAGACCTTATTATGGGGAAAAGTGTGTAGAGTCAATGTATGCTGTTCCATGTTCATGTTAGGTCTACGGCAAAAGAGGATGGAGTTAAGGCAAGCTGGTCCATTTATGTGTTTCTCAAAAATCAAACAAGCAAACATTTTCTCTGGAATCCATGTTCAACGGGCAGAGATCGGGACATGAGAAAACTGTTGTGCTTTTGCATTGACCAGATGACCAAGGCATTTGGACCAATCCATCAAATGGCTCAGTTCGCACCAAACTTGCCCTCCACGTGATGCATGTGGTTTTAATTTGGGCTTAATTTTGGTGTTGTTGGCATTTGTTTGAATTCTGCAAGGCTTAATTTGACCTTTATTTTGTCTTGATTTGGGTTATGTGGCGATGTTGGAGAAGGCTTATATAATTTGCCTATGGTTTGGTCTTAATGTGGATAAGCTTTTTGATCTGTCGAATTCTTCAAGGTAAGAAACTCAGTTAGGGCTTAATTTGGTGAAGATTTGCACCAAGAAAAAAATGCCAACATCTTGTTGTACCCTTTGTTGTTGTTTGTTGTCGTCGTCGTCGTTGTTGAGGGGAGATCGCTGACAACGCCTTCTGTCCTTGCACAGCGTCGTCCACAAGCCTGTGCCAAGTTACACAAAACGGTGGTCTTTATATGGATCTCAGTCAAAATTAGTGAGAAAACAACAGAAATCAATAGCTGTTTTTAGGGTTGTGAGCCATCCAAATTTGGGGTTGATAAGTTTGATTCACAGACATATTGGGAATCGGATCATTTAATGGGTGTTTAGATAGACCAAACACGTTTAAAGAAGGGGATGGCGCAACAGTGATCCGAACATTATGAAGTTGGCAGTTGTTGATTACGCCATTGGTTCCCCTGCTCAATAGGGAGGGGTTACAGACCTACCAGAAAGATTAATTTCTTGACAATTCACATGGACCTGAATAAATCAGGGTTGGGAGATGATGTTCCTGCTGATTTAGACCAAATCTACAGACGCTGCTACCCTCCTTTTTTCAAAATACAAGATATACAAGCATTTGTTCAAACCATTGCATTCAGAAAACACAGCTTTCCCAGACCCCAAACTAGCAACCCCAACCATGAACAACTAAGCATGAATTGATTGTTTTTTCGTAAGTTGGAGGTGTGTCATATCTAAAAGAAAAAAACCTTCTGGGTCTACCTTGGGGGGCTCCGATTTCTTGAGGATGGCATGATTTGTTGGTCGAAGTTTATTGGAACACACCGCTGCAAATCCCAACAAATCCTGAGATTTGGACAGGAGGATGAAGCACGAAAGCTCAATGATCAGATCAAAGAAGCAAAGAAGGCAGAACGTCAAACTGGTCGTTTCAATCACCACGTTCTGAAAAGGATTTGAAATTATAGTAATGCGAAATGCAGGCTTATGACCTATACTAAAAGATAATTTCGATGAATCATATGTTTTTGAAAAAATGGTGGAAAGAGTCGCAAAAGTTGAAGATCTATATAGATCATTTGTCACAGGCGTTTGGAGGTTGGATTTCTCGACGAGTGACTTTCCGAATTTAGTGTAACAGTGTTTTAGTGTTGTGTTTTGTGTTAACCACGGTTGGCTTCTGACCCCAATTCATTTCTTGTGTTCTCCCATGTTATCCATGAAATTACGTTTTATTTTGTTTCAACTAATAACTATAGGTGTTCAATGGATAGCAGCCATTGGTCAAGTTTGTGAAGGCCGTCAAAGTCGTCGAACAGCCAAAGATCGATTGGGCGAATCCGCCTGCGGAGCTGATCGAGGAGACAGATCGAGGGTCGAAACAGTTGTCAGAAGAAAAATCCTGCTCTGTTTGCCAAGAATGCTGTGATGTTTCCATGTATCTATTTGATTCTATTTGCATGTGTTTTTGCGAAAAATTGGAAGTGCGAAATGATTTTGATATGTTCTGATGGTTCTCAAACATCCCAACTTCAGTTTGCAATGTTTTGCAATAGGTAAGGTTTGAGTTTGTGGATTAAAGTGCAAATGAATGTAGCGATTTCGCTGTTGCAAACAGTTGAACTTGTCGGTGTGTGTTTTTTTGGCATTTGGCATCTCCACAGTTTCAGATGTGTGGCATTTTTTCTTGTGAGATCAGATGTGTTTTGTCTGTTTTAGGATGCCAAGAAGCAGGGCCTAGATTTGACGGATCCGGTGGTCGTCCAAGAGCTGAAACGTTTGGAGCGCGAGGCCGACCTGGACAACCGTAGCTCTGTGAAGTGTTCTGAATGACTTGCAGACTTGCAGATTCTCGAAAATGATGGTTTCTCGAAGATTCCAAATCCGGCTGTGATTTGTTTCTGTTTTAGATGATTCGAAGCCTTCGCAACTTTTCTCCGCCAGGGCTTCGACAAGCTCGATGAGATGCCAGGAGACAAAAGGGATCTAAATGGACTGGGATGCCAAGAGTCATTTGTACTGATTGTTTAAAGATGTTTAAAGCTGTAGTTTCTCACAAACGGCCGAACTGGAGGAGAAGAAGAGGAGCAAGAGGAGGTGCAGCCACAGCCACAATCAGCCACACTTCGAGTTCTGACATGTCCTAACGTGATGGAATTCCCTCTTCCAAGTCTTGCCAAGTCTTGCCAAGTCTTGCCTTGTGGTTCAGATTTGATGTTTGTATATGTTTGTGACGTCTTGTTTGAATGCTTGCATGTGTTGATCAAGTGTTTTCTTGCGATGATGTAGCAGATGTGTCGTTGCGTGTTAGCTCTTTTGATCTCTTTTGCCTCTGCCTGTGCTTTGAAGGAGGAAGACTCAGATGAAGTAGTGCCATGGAGGAGGCAGGATATTTCGCCAGTGGTGTAATTCCCGAGCGTGAAAGTTGCAGCGTGAAAGTTGCAAATCACCCCTGATAGCGTTGGCAGCGATGGCAGTGGCGATTCGGCGATGCCCAGGTACTTCATTTTCTTCACCGCAGCTTGGCCAAAGCTCCAAAAAGTTTGTAAAGTGTTGCAGCAGTTGCAGCAGTTGCAGCTGTGTTCTCAGCGCTTTCAGTTGAAACTGCACATATTGTGCGGTCACCATGCTCCGTCACGTGCCGGTCACGCGCCGGTCAGGTTGTTTACATCTTCTGGTGCTTGGTGGACGTGGCCTTGACCGTGGTGGTCCTGCCAAGTTTGCCATGACACCATGAGAAGACGGCACGACGCGAAGCAAAATCGGCCAGGCTCCAAAGCAGCCACCGGTGCCAAAGGTCCAGGTGAAACCGGCGCCACCAGTGCCAGGCTTCCCCGGATTTCTATTGCCAAAATTATTCAGATTTCGCAGATTTCCTGAGAATGAAATAAGCTACAAATACACATAAGTCACATAATACACATTAAGTATGGCAAGTAGAAACGAATCAAAATGATAGATCCGTTGCTTTGCAAGGCTGTATCAAGATGTATCCAGATGTATCCAGATGTATCCAGATGTATCCAGATGTATCCAGATGTATCCAGATGTATCCAGATGTATCCAGATGTATCCAGATGTATCCAGATGTATCCAGATGTATCCAGATGTATCCAGATGTATCCAGATGTATCCAGCTGTATCCAGCTGTATCCAGCTGTATCCAGCTGTATCCAGCTGTATCCAGCTGTATCCAGCTGTATCCAGCTGTATCCAGCTGTATCCAGCTGTATCCAGCTGTATCCAGCTGTATCCAGGTGTATCCAGGTGTATCCAGGTGTATCCAGGTGTATCCAGGTGTATCAAGATGTATCAAGATGTATCAAGATGTATCAAGATGTATCAAGATGTATCAAGATGTATCAAGATGTATCAAGATGTATCAAGATGTATCAAGATGTATCAAGATGTATCAAGATGTATCAAGAGTGAAAATCTTGACTCTCACGACTTTCACGACTTTCATGACTTTCACTTCGTGACGCTCTAGGTGACACGGAGACGGGGCATTCCCTGGAGCTGGAGAGCGAGACAGAGAATGTCGAGACTGCCATGGAGGAAGAATTGGAGGCTCATTTTCTTTGCACGCGATTTTCATTAAAAGAAAGAGAGATGAAGGGTCGCAGGGCTTGTGGATAGGAAGAATTAAGTACAGCCTAGAGAGAAAGATTGAACACATTCCGATGTTGATGGGAGAATTCACATCACGAGTCACATTGCAGCCTCAGTCCACTCAAGATACTCAAGTCATCTCAAGTCATCTCAAGTCTGTCCACGGACCACGGACAGATTCCCGAGTCCAACTGAGTCCAACTGAGTCCAACTGAGTCCAACTGGACTTTGCGCCTTCGAAGCTTCGTCTCAGCAGCCATGGCCGAGACCAAGCCACAGGAGACGCATGACACGTGCGAGACACGTGAGACACGTGAGACAAGTGAGGACAAGCTGCATGAGACATGTGACACAGATGAAGTGGCCCCAGTAGCCCCCATGGCTAGCCCTGTGGCCCCTGTGGACGTCCCTGTGGACGTCCCTGTGGACGTCCCTGTGGACGTCCCTGTGATGCCTGTGATGCCTGTGATGCCCAAGTTGACCAGTCGCAAGATCGGCGGCCTCGTCACTTGGGTCGTGGATCGTCATGCTTTGGCCAAGGCTTCCAAGATCTCCACTGAAGATCCATCGCCCATCTCGCCGCAACGGCCTCGGGATCGGGAAGATCGTGACGGAAGTCCCAAGACGCCTTCCTTCAAGCCGTCCTTGCCGCGCAGAGCTTTCAAAGAAGCAAATAGATCAAATAGATCAAATGGACCAGAATGTGATGCAAAATGTGATGAAGTTCCAGAAAAGGTTGCAGTTGCTCACACTGGTGAAAAGATTGAAAAGGAGTCAGAAAGGGATGAAACCGAAAATGAAGATTCTGATTCGGATGCTTGCTGCTCTGAGACGGAGACACCTTCTGCCAGTAACAGCCCTTGCTCAGCTTCAGAAGATCCCAGCGAAGGACAAGCCTTTCAGGGACATGGGTATCCTTATGGCATTCCCTTTTGGCCCGTTTACTTCCCAGTGGCTGGGTGCCAGCCAAACTGGTGGAACATGAATGAAATTGCAGCGCAGCACTTGGATGCTTGCCACAAGATTGCCTTGCAGCGTGCTGAAAGGCGTGGGGCTCCAACAGAGACCTGCTGTGTCGGCTGCTGCTGTTCTCGCTGCATTGGTATTCCAGCAGCGTATCAACCAAAGAAGTCTGAGGAGAGGCTTCTGAAAGAGAAAGATGAGAAAGATGAGAAAGCAAAACCAAAAACCTTGGAAGATGAAAATCAGGGTAAGGACTGTGACACTATCAGTGTGCAGGAAAGCTTGCAAGAAACTGCTTCATCTACATCTGTGTCCTCTGGTTCTTCAGACTCCGATATGGATGTGGACGAGATACTCAATCAGCTTCCTCCGACCCGAACGCTGACGTGGACCACGCCTGACCCTCGCTTGCAGCAACATCTGAGGCGCCCAAAGTTGCTTCGCACCGTGGTATGCACGAACTTGCATACAGATGCCATAGCAACAGATGTGCATCAAGCCTTTCAACAGCGTTTCATCGCACTACCAGATTATGTAGATGGCTATTGGAAAGAAGGCCGGGCAGCCGGGCAGTGGTTGGAGTTGTTGCGGTTTCGACGGCCAAACTGATCACACTTGAATCAACTTGCGAACTAGTCACATCGACCTAAATCGCACCATATCTTTTGTGATCATACCTCATCCATCCTCATCCTTTGTTACCTTGAGTTGTTAGCTAAAAGCTCATCCATCAAACATGTAGCAACCCCTGCAAGGAATCACATCCAGCGCAGTTCTCTCCGTGACGATTCGTGAGAAAACTCCAGCCGTGGCCTTTATCGTGCTGTTTGATGAGAAGCTCACAAGCACAGCCCTGCTGTTCGATGGCCTGGAGATCTGTGGCCAACGACTTCACTTGAGACGTCCTCACGAATGTGGTCCTCCTGTCGATGGCTATGCCGAAGCCTGTGACGTCTCCATCCTCTACCGACTGGGGATGTTGAGTCGACCTGAAAAGATCGAGACGGATCCAACAGGTCCTACAGGTCCTACAGGTCCTACCGGTCCTACCTTGGGTCCTGCAGGAGCCACATCAAAGGCCGCAGCCAAGCCTCGATGGCGAGCTCCACGTGCTCCAAGTGCTTTGGAAGGTCTGAAGCATTTGTACATTGGAAATCTTCCGGAGCGTCACAGCAGCTTGCAGGATGTTACCGAGTTGGTGACTTGCATGACTTCTGAGCTTGCATCTTACAAGGAAGAGATTGGCCCTCCAATGATCTTTGCAAGACCTGTTCGAAATGGCTGGGTGGTGGAGATGCAAAGCTGCGACTTGGCTCGCGATGCTCAGAATTGTCTGCGACAGATGGTGCTGGATGGCGTTCAGATCGTCTGCTACCTCACCTTTGGCCGAGCTGAGACCTGAGATGATCTGAAGGATGCTATGGAAAGCTATGGAAAGCTATGGGATGCTTTCAGATCTCAATTCAAAAATTTCGACATCTTAGAATATCTTAGATCAGCCGATCAGCCCACAGTTTCAAACACTTTTGAGGCGAACTTCCCGAATTAGTGTTGGATTTGGTTTTGCACAGCTTGGGAGTTCAGGGGTTCAGAAATTGGCAAACACAATGTACAAGTGTACAAAGTGATACAAAGTGTAGAGTCTGTGCAGATTTCCACCTTCAGATTGCCCTGTTTGTTTTTGCTGTCCGGATGCTGAACCCTTGCGTGCAGTGTATGCCATGCCAAGTGACCGCCGTTTACTCATTCACCTGAATGAGCTTGCGGCAGCTTGCGACAAGTCGTCACAAAACGTCAAAAAGGTGGGTTCGATCGGTCCTGGAATGTGATTGAGGACGGCAACTCACACATCTCATCTCCATCTTCTCCACCTTCAGAGCCTTCAGAGCCTTTGTGTCATTGAAACTGATCATGGAGATCGCACTGTAAAGAACAGAATTGGAAAGATTATGTTCAGATGTTTGTATTCAGGTATGTGACGTGACATGTCGTGAGATGTGACAGAACATGGCAGAATTGAGATGGACCTAAGTATGACGTGTTACGTGTGACGATTCGCCAGGCGCCATCTCCTTCTCGCTTCCAAGTGGTGCAGCTGGGCAGCACTTTGTGCAGTTGAAACCGGTGTAGTCGGTGTGCACCACGCACCAGTTTTGCCATGTTTGCCACGTTCGCCACATTTCGCCGTGTGCAGGATGGATTATGTGAGCCCTTGGATTTTCGGTGAAGCAGACGAGACAGAGCTCTGATTCGCCACAGAGTTGAGGCGTAAAGTGAAGAAATTAGTTACACTATGCTTCCTCGTTATACACTTTTTATACACTTGGACAAACTAAAGGTAACTAAAGTAATACTTTGACTTGTAAAGTTTTAGCATATGGTGAGGTGTTGCCCAAAAACTTCACGCTTCACAGCGAAGTTGAAGCTCCATCCATGAAAGTCTCGCTGAGTATCTGGTCATTTGGTGAACAGGATGCTGTGGAGCATGATTCCATTACCATTCAGAATCTAAGCCTTTGGAAGAACCAAAAGGAAATGCAACGTTTGGTACACAGATGTACACAGTTTGCTTGAACTGCGTTTTCTGTGGCACGCACATACGCACTGCGCCTCGAATGGTACCAGAGTTTGCTCCTAGTGTACACAACCGCAGAATCCCTGCGGGAAAAACAAGGAATCCGTGAAAACCGGAGTGCGATGGTCGCCATCTCCGGCATGGAATCATTCTGCTGCCTTTTCGCAAACTGCTGATAGTACACGGCACATGTAGAACTTCAATGAACTTCATGCAGATCTAAAGATTTTGAGTTGCCCCGGAAACGAGGTGTTTTCATTTTCATTGGCTCATTCGGCGCAGCCACAGGGAGCGTAGCTTGTAGAGTAGGCAACACCGCAGCGAAACCAGCTGACACCGTGTGGGACGCAACGACGTCTCCAGCCAACAGGCCGCAGCACTTTGTTTTTTCCCTCTCAGTGGTGACCCATCTCCTGGGAAACTCTTCTTTTCCTTTGAAGATTTCGAAGTCTTCACTGCAATCCCGATTTAAGTTTTATTTAACATCTTCAAATTGCAAAACATCCGGAAGAATGGCCCCACCAAACTACACTGAAGTGTAAAGGCTTTCAAGGACAGATCCTGCAGCGGACAGGCATGGACCTGTCATGTTCGCTTGCTCCGTTGCACCGCCTAGTTTGACCGTTTGGCCACGTTTAGCCATGTTTCACCGTTTGATTTTGCTCAGCAAGACAGCAAGAAATGATTAGCTCCATCATGGGATGCACACAGTACACACAGCTGGTACATTCTTTGCTTTCTCATCTTTCTCCAATTGTGACACAACTGTTTTGTGTCGCCAGGTGGGATAATTGGGAGTGGCCAAGGGCTGTCGCCACATCGTTGCTGGGACTTGAAAAGCCAGTGGTGGAAATGTTAACACCTATAGATTAAAAAAAACATTTGAAGATGTCAGCATAGTTTGGTGAAATTCAAGAAGATGACCGGCGCACAATGCAAGGCCTTGCATGCAGCCGAAAAGCTATTTCTATTTCCGGATGTTGTGGACCTTGATATTCTTGTCTTGCAGACCTGTTTACACCTTCAGAACAGAACTGGCACTTTTGGAAGCATGTGCAGGGTGGATCGAGATGCAATCCATCCTAGTCCATTGTTTCAACACATTCAAGGCCTTTGTTCATTTACTTTTCACAGTATAATCTTTCAAAATTCACAATGTAATCTTATTTCGTCAGATTTCTGCGTACTTCTTCGCATGTTCATCACATTGTTGCGCACGACTTCGCGCCAGGGGACATTTCTGTGCTGATCTTCTCCTGACAGCTTACGTGAGCTACTCAAACGGACGAGCCATAGGCCATGCTGGCTGAGCCCAAAAAAAATGCTCTGTTTTATCCAAGTACAAGCTATAGTCTATAGCCTATAGCTATACAATCCTATACAGCTATACAGATAGCTATACAGGTTGGGGAACAAAGACATAAAGAAAAAATGAGAATCTGTAGCGGGCCACAGCATGCTGTCTCAGGATGGGGAAGTCCAGCTCTACTTGCTGTCATTGTCCCGAGCTCATGGATTCCCAATGGATATCTCTGGTCATAAGTTGGACACCAAATATATAAGAAATCAATAGACATTTTGTTTGACCGCTGCAACACTGAATTTCATTGAATGGTTTAAGACATCCAGGTGTTCCAGGGTTGTTCCAGGGTCCCAGGGTGCCAGACTCCAGTTGATTCACCGTGAATGTTTACTGTTTACATTACCATTCTGAACAGGCACTGAATTGCCTTGTCAGACTGCAACAGACTGCTATAGACTGCTATAGACTGCTATAAGGAGCAGATGGGCGCTGGTGGTGCAGGTTGCCGACAATATGTTGCAACTGTCCAGCGCTTAAGATGTGAACTCTCGAAGATCAAACTTTTGTCAACTGTGCATCTCACGTATCATACTGATGTATCATACTGTATCCTATAGCTGCTGAGTTATCAGGGTCATGGCTTCGCTTGCCTAAGGTACTGCACCGTTAGGGGCCTCAGAGCTAGCAAGTGGCGGAGTGGCGATCGTTGCCATGGTTGCCATTGTTGCCATCGTTTCATGATCCGCAGCCTCTGTGGCTTGCAGCCAGACGCTGTTGCTTCACATGGTGCTGGAACTACAACCATGCTTCATCCCATGGCACATCACTGTGATCAGGGCACAACTCAAAACAGATATGATACACATCACCAGATGTCGTTTTCAAGGTCGGTATCATTTCGAACAGTAATCTTTGACTAGATCCCGCAGAACTCAGTACCAAGCAGAGACAAAAGGTCCAAAAGAAAGCCTGCAATGTAAAGGGACTGCAACTCTGGGCAGATAACATGGAGGATGGTGACGAAGTACACCTGGACATGGAGAATGGAGAGGCACAGAAATCGAAACCAAAAAACAAACGAAATGTCATGCTGAAAGATGGAGAAGGAGACAATGTGATGAGTTCTAAGAGAGGAATTTCTATTCGTCACAGGAGATTGTGGAAAGAAAGAGATCGCGCTTTCAGATTCCACGGGCTGCCAAGTGCTGGTCGATGCAACTAGGAAGAAAATCAGCAAGTCGCAACTCTCGATTTGCGGATCTCAAGAGCACAGATCTCACATGCGAAAGAGTTTCCAGGGCACACTCTTGACTTATCTTGACTTGATAGTTCAACCATACTCAACCTCTCATTTAAGGTACTGTGATTTCATGGCTTCACCAGGGGTGAAGTGCCCTCGATACTTGGCGTGGGTTAAGAATGTTAAGAATCCCAGGGTAATGAATCATTGGGGAAACAACACTGAACCAACAGTGAACCAGCAGTAAACCAACAGTGTGCAGCCAGTGCGGGTTTAGCGGGTTTACCGGATTTACCCTCCTCTCCTCGGAGGATGTTGGCGAGTGGTGAAGCATTGTTGCTGCGCAGCACTTCCCAATGTGAAGCTTCGTCCACAAGTCATCGTGCTTTTCCACCACGAGGCTCAACATCTCATACTGATACTGATTCTCACAAAGATTACTAATATTCATCATATTGCATACATATTTGAAGAATTGTCCACACTCCTGGCAACCAGGAACTGGGGCAACACTCCGCGACAAATACAGCAGTTTGGCTTACTTTGGCCAGATCCCCAAGCCATTTAAGAAAGCATAAAGTAAGCCATTTATGCAAAGTTGTGCCAGCTTTCAGTTGCAGAAGATTTCATGCAGGAATCTACTCAATTTGACATGAGGTGGGAGCCGAATTCTATTGTGCCGGTTTGCGAGAGCATGACCAACGTCTGCAAAGACTGCTGAGGCCCGCGATTCGAAGAGCGAAGCTGCAAAGAGTGTGTTTTTGGTGGGACAAGTCACATTTGGACCTGGAGATGATTGGTTCATTCGCAAGCGATGACTCATTATCCGTTCATGTCAAACTCACGCCCATTCATTTCATTCATTTCGTTCATTTCCCATGTGCATTTCCCATGTCACCATATGTCACCATATGTCACCCATGTTGCACTTCGCTGCACTGCGTTGCACTTCATCCCCCAGGGAAGATGTGGATGGCACCGTGGTCCTATTTCCAGCACCTGGTGCTGCTCCTGCTGCAGACTTGGCCCTTGCACCACGGCGAATTGTGGTCCTTGATGGAGGCCAGGCTGGCCAGGAAGCCACACCAAAGTTTCAAATCGTTGCAATGCGTCCCAACTTTCGTGACATCCCACCAGGCTGGGCGCAATGCAAAAAGATGAATGAGTGGCTAGACCCTGCACTTCCTAGGAGCCTCAACTGAGATAGAGCAAAGGATCGATTTCTGAAAGCGCCACATGATTCGAGGAAAATGTCGTACGGTTGCTAGGCAGTGCTGCCTGGTGCTCTTGCCGCATCTGAGGTGCTTTGTGAATGCGACGCGAGCAGAGTGGCATGGACTGAGATTATGAAAGTAATAGCCAACTCGTCAAGAAAGTTTCCAGGTTGAGACAAGAACTCTTGTAATAGGCCGTGACATCCAGTTACGTTGGTGGTGCGGATGCATGTGCTTTGTGTTTGCTCCGTCCGTCGTTGAAGGTTTGGTGGAACAAGGCGCTACCGTGGGGCAGAGGGCCGTGCTCCTCGTCCAAACTCGTTTCATTTTTCGTTTCAGTCGTCGTATGTCGTTGTCATCGTTGCATCCTGCGGTTTCCGCACACCTCAAGAGCCTCAAGGTGCAAACGGCAGCTGCGTTTGTTGCCTTGATGAGAGACTTGGGTGAGGAGACCCACAGCTGCACACCATGAAGCAACATGAAGCAAGCGCATTCAATGAATTTGACAAGACTCACCTTGACGTGAAAACATGTTCCAGCAAAATGCAGGATTCCGCTGTGGTGAGTTCGCTTTCGCAACTTATTTGAAGATTGGAAAAACATGGAAGAACTAGCCCTTGCGTGTCTTCAGCTTGTGCCGATGTTTGCAGCTACATGTGCAGATGGAATCAGTGTACTTCAGTGTACATGAATCAATGTGCCACCTCCAAGGCAAAGCTTGGTGACTTTCATGGAGAGCTTTGAAGCCCAAATGGCACCGTCCGGCCGATTGAAAGTCCTGTGAAAAAATATGGTGTGCTGCATTTTGCACTTTGGAATTCAACAGAGCGTTGTTGTTGCGTGCTCCATAGCCCTTAGCCTGTGCAATTGAACCTAATCTTTTCGAACCAGTTCTGAGACATCAAAGCTGGTCCAACAGAGGCAAGTGGACTTGATGCTTTGCCGACCAATGACCCAAAGGATCCTGTGTGTTTCTTAAGACTGCTGTTCCATCTTCAATGAGCGTTGGATATTTTATGTCTCTGTGAATCTCGGTGTTAGCACTTTGTGTAGTAACTCTTGCCGAAGGAGTTTGAAGAGGTTCCCGATGCGGTTTCCTCGAGCGTGGCTCTCTTCGCCACTTCGTGCCTTGTCGACTGGAAAATCAACCGAGTTGTACAAACGGGTCTCAAAGGTTTTGAGGTTTTGAATTTCTGGAGAAAGTTGTAGATTTCTGGCACTTTGTCACGGGTCATGGATCTCAACGGATTTCAACGGATTTCAACGGAGTCACCTGAGTCACCAAGCTGTCTCAGGCAGCCGTTGTCCTTCCTAGTTGTGGTCCGGAGCTGAAGTTCTGGAGATCTCTGGAGACCAGCGAAGCTCGAACACGAAACGCAACGGAGATCGCAGTCGTGAGTCGTGACAGGTTTGGTACTGGGGTTTCGAACACTGGGGCCACCAGGACATAGTCCTGAGACGACTGAGACGTGTGTTACACATATGTTCTCTCTATTTCTCTGCATTTCTCTGTTGTTTTTGTCTAGGAGATGCCAAGCTATTTGGGCTTCTTCTTGCACTTCATCAGTTGGATTCTACAGCTGATCAGTCTCATGGTTTGTCGACTTCTCAGCCCGTGATTTCAACACCGCGAAGATGCCCATGGACTCGCAGTGTTTCACGACAAAAGTGCCAGGTCGCATCCCGCTTTCGTGTTCACATGGGGGATGGCTTCTAGCCTTTGTCACCAGTTTCATTGCCAAAAGCTGAGGTGCTCAATGATTCAATGCATGAAGTTCAAAAGTGCAAACACATTGCAGTCCATGTGGTCACCTGTGGCGTGTTTTCAGTTGAACATGTTGAACCCAACTGCATTGCTGGTGTTGGTGGCGACATTTCGCTTCGTCGTTCCTCATCGTTCCCCGTCGTTCCTCGTCGTTCACCTTCACCGAGGTGTGGTCCTATGTGCACTACACGCTGAGGATAGGCATGTGCAGCTCTCAGAGTGATGGTCATGACACAGTCATGACATGGTCATGTGCTCATCATGATCATCATGAGTTGTCATGATTTGTCATGATTTGTCATCATGACAGCTGAATCAAACCGATTATAGCACGTTTAGGGGGATGAAGATCCATCTACCAGCTATTTGGGGTTCACCAGGATATCCTGGTTTTGACCCAAGGCATCCCATAGCTATAATATGATGTTTCATGACGGGTCATGAAAAGCTCCAGCACTTTGGAGTTTGAAGCTTTTCAGGCCTGGCGGCTGCAGAAGTTACACTCAGCCTGAATGCCCTATGTACTCAGTCAGATCCTCATTGTGCTTTGTTGAAAGATTGAAAATGAGACTGGATAAAGAGAACAGCTTTCGATAAGCATTTGAGAGTCCAACTGCTAAATGACCACAGGCCTTAGATTGGCACAAACCACAGGCGACCGTTGCAGCTGCTTTCAATTCGAGGATGCTTTGAAGATTGGGAGAAACGTTTTCTGAGATGTGACTCTGTGACAGGTTGCAGCCACCACTGCGTTCTGTGCACTGGTGATACCCTGAGTATGACTGTAAACATTTTACGGATCAGCAGTGGATCCGTCACAAATCACTTGCACGTGTTTGACTGCGCAAAGTGATCAGATTGGGCTTGAGGCAGCTGCTGCTCTGGCAGTGTTTCTGTATGCTCTCTTAGCGAAGCTACGGGTCAGAACCTCACCCGATGCAGAACGGGTCTTTGGAATGCTGTCAGAATTGTGGGGTCCCAGGGTCTGAGCAGCGCTCAATGGGACCTGCTGGAGATGGACAACAATAGGAGGAGACTCAACTGTGAGCATTGTGAGCAATAGCTTGACTCGCTTGACTCACGCCATGCCAAAGTTGCCAAAGGCATTCAATTTTTCCAAATGTGGACCCTTTGGCATTGCCAGGATTGAAAGAGAGGCCCAACAGGCGCGGGTGCATTCAATGCTTCATTGTCAGCTAGATTGTCAATAGTAGGTCCTGGATTGTCCTAAGACCACGCCGTTTGATGGAACTGGTGCGAAGGCGAGAGAACTTGAAGCCTTAAAGGCCGCCCTTGAGGAAGAACAACAAGGCAAGGGAAGTGTAGGGACAATCAAGAAGTGTAACACAAATGTGTATGGCCGTACTTCGTGTGCGCACATTGTACCGCCGTTTGAGGGTGGTTTGATGTCTTGCAGGATATTGCTTCTGCAGATGCCGATAAAGATGTCCTGACTAAAATCTGATTCAGCAAAGCGATGAATCAAAATTGAGATTTGCAGGGACTGAACTTGTGGACACTCAGAAGAGCTGCAGAAGCTTGCTTTCAAGGATTCGCACATGCGCAACTTGCCATCGAAGCTCCTCATGCGCAGCCTTTAAGGATCAATGATCAAAGCCAATGTCACTGTCACTGTCAAACAGTTGGGTCCAAGTTCTCACACGTTGCACGCCACTTGGGATTCAACAAGACCAGTCGCTTTAGCGATTCCACAAAGTCCCACATCAAAAAAGATCGGCCTGTCCCACTTCATCCCACTTTGAGCGGTGCCACTGCAATGTTTTCATTGCTGAAGGACAGTCAAGCATGTCGACTGAATGATTGAAGCTGTTCAAAGCAATGTAGTGGTGAGTTTTATTACTGCTGGGAAAACATTTCAGCAAGATTCATTGGAGGACACAGTAGCTGAATGACCAGGGAGAAAAGTTGTCCATTTTGCTGTGAGTGAGAGACATGGAGACATGCATTCAAGTGAAGACCAATTGAAGTGATTGAGTTTGCGATCTTCAGTCTATGATTCGCAAGAACCTGATGACCTAGTAGTGTTGTCCAATTTTGTTTTGGCTGCTCGAACCAAGCTCATCTCGCTAAATGGAGAAAATTAGATCAAAACCCACAAGGATGTAAAGACAATGTACAAATATGGACAATGTAGAAATAGAATGAAATAGAATGATATAGATATTTCTGAATGATATTCTATGATACTCTGACCATCGACCTGAGGAGCTGACAGTTGGACTGTTTCAGCGGTGCATCCTTGGCCATGACGGCCATGACGGCATGACTGAGCAGGCGTTGAGTCGGCCTAACAGCACGTTTTGGCACGAGTGCCAATACAGCACACGCTATGCACACGGTCCAGTTTGCTCGTTGCCTGACGCAGGAAGCGATTTTCTCGTACCTTTGTGTATAGTATTCTCGTGAAGGACTTCGGGTCTTCAAGCCGTCCCTCGGTCATGAAGCATGACAGGGTGGACAGGGTGCAGTTTCCAGATGACTCAGTGACTCAGTGGAGACCGAAAAATTCTAAACCTTTCACCTCCAATTCCGATCTTTCACTACAAAACGGATTGGTTGGTTCACGGTTCAATTCTGTGGACCTTCAATTTCTTCCCCCCCCAAAATGGGAACAAATCAGCAACTGTCAACCATTTGCGACACTTGGAAGATCACCATCAACGGAAATGGGATAGCCCCCCAAAATGTATTCATTGGTCAATTTCCCCCAAAATGGGATGATTCATAGCTCAGATCGCGGCAAAAGGATCCCATCTGGTGCGGCTGGCATACGGGGGCTTCACCACCACGGGAGGATGGAGCTGCCCAGACCTCAACCCAGGGTCTTCGTTTTTTTTGGGGGGAGGGAGTGATGTTCATCATGAACTCAAACGAACAGATACACACCACGATTGTAATAGCCCCGGACACAGGGAAGATCTGGTGGAAGAAAAGTGCTGTGGAGACACAAAGTTTTGCAGACACAGTTTGTTTGCATTGTGCTGACGTAGAACTTGAAAGCACCAGCAATCCACATTTTTGCAGGAGTAGAGAGCGTATACCGCTGCCGGAGTTACAACCGTACTATGGTGTGCCCCTTCGGCTGCAGATGCCGTCCATGATCAGCCTGGCTGTTTGTTTTCCTTGAACCACATGCAGTTAGCTATGCTGATTTTTTCGGTCCTGGAGCTGTGCAGAGGTTGGATTGGAAGAATTTCAATCAAGCTAAGCCTGTGAAGAAGGCATTGAAGCGAGTGAAATCAGAAGAAGGATTCCCTGGATGCAAGCATCTTGGCCGATCAAACGCCCCGTGATTTTCTGCGCAGGACCCACGGAAACATAAGTGCACAGCCCTAGGAAATAGCTGTCCAGCAGCAACTGAAAGATGCTGAGATCAATTCAAAGACAAAGTCTTGCTTGTTGCTTTGGTCTTTATACTTTCTGATACATTTTGATTATTCACATGTTTTAAAACTTTCTCAGGTACTACCTGTACTGCAACCGGAATTTGAAGTTGACATACCAGGGACTGAATCAGTACCACAAGGCTGGGGTTTGCAGGCTGTCAAAATGGCTTCGACTTCAAGACCTGCGAACGGAAGTGCCAAGTGTGTTGATCAGCAATACATAGCACTGTGGTTGTAAACTCAGGGCTTTGCCGCTGGACATCTGGACATCAATAAAGGTATAACTCCACACACATCTTGCAGAGAATCTTGCAACAGTTGAGCAACTAACAGTTGTCTTAATATTGCAAGTGGAGCAGGCTGTTGCTCATTCTCTCAAGTTCGACGAGCTCAGGACCACAAACCTTGATCAACCTTGCACTTCCCTGCGCGTCAACGGCTTAGTTCAGACGTTCGAAAAGCAGACGAAAACAAAGGGAAAGGGTTGGAGGCTTCAAATGGATCAACACAACTGTTCCTTGCTTCGAAATATGTCAAGGCACATTATATGTGGCTTCTGCACATTGCTATGTCTGCCCAGCAAAGAAACTTTCAAATCATTATGTTTCTGTGTCTTTCTGTTTGGTCAACCTGATTCGAGCACGTCAACATCCACCACCGAATTGTTGTGGAAATGCTTTGGTTGGAATCATCCGAGAACTCGTCCTGGCACATGCCTCCCTCAGCCTTTGGCTCCCGAGTCTTCCAAAACGCTAAGCGTGGCCGATGGCGATGGCAACGAAGTCCTGGGGAGTTGAGGAAGTTTCCAGTTGGTTGACCCAAGTTGGGTTTCCTCAACTGGTGGATGGCTTCCGTGAACAGGAAGTCGATGGAGAGGTTCTGCTTCAGCTGACGCCGCTAGAATCAAACTCGTTTGGTGATGTGTCCTGTCATTTTGTTTTCGCAGAGTGGCATTCTGTAGTTCCACATTTCCATAGTCCACATAGTCCATGTCCCTTCACTTTTTCTACAGTCGTGTTCAACTTTAGGACCGAAGATTTGAAAGATGAGTTCCACATGAAGTTGGGTGAACGAAAAAAACTTATGGAGCGCATCGAGAACTTGAAAGAGAAGGCAGGAAATGGTTGGAGCATGATTGTGTCAGCACATTTGAGGAAGTGTAAAGCCCTAGTTCTTCGTTAGTTGGCTGAAACGGCAAAAATCCTCATTTTGAAGACTGAGAGGAACACTTTTCCTCAAGTTCGACGGCGTCAGAGAGATGCTCGGACGCAACAGTGTCAGTTGCAGCGTGCTGCAACAGATGTTTTCCCCACAAAGCTTTTGCAAAGACATCCCAAGACTCGGCCCGAGAGTGTGAGTTTTGTTGAGAACAGAGATGCGACATAATGTGATATCCGATTTCCAGATGGTTCCAGGCCAACCAGGTGCTTCGCGTCTACCAAGTGTTGAGCCAAGCAGGTGCATCTGTGGCACAGGAAGGGCCGGTTGCACAACGTGCTTGGACTCTTTGGCTGTCTCTTTCGCTGCGAGGTCTGGGACGCCGTGCACACCGGAGTTGGAGAAGCTGTACTTGCTGGATGGCCGCAACATCGCCTGTCAAGGAGGTGGAAACCATATTTTTTATGTGACAAGAAGCGAATATGAAAAAAAATGAAAAAAAAACTTGGCAGTTGTAATGATCTGAGCTACTGACTGACCCAACCTTAACGACCTGGTAAGGCGAAAGTTTTGACAAGCCGAACTTGAAGAAGCTCATCACAACGATGAATTGGCACATGGAACAGCGTCCAGACTGGAAAGTCGTGACGTTTGTTTATGAGGCCAGGACTCCAGTGATCTCCAGTGACTGTTTTGCAGATCTTTGCAGTTTTCAGTCTCCAACACTAGCAGCACTAGATTCCAGGCCCTCATGGAACAGTGGAAGTCCGAGTACCCAGAGGAGACCAAGCACTTGGAGCGTTTGACGGTGACTCCACGACGCGAAGATGTGGATAAGTTCATTATCCGAAAAGCCGTGGATGCTGCCAAAAGCGGATGCCTCGTGAAGATTGTCTCTAACGACAATTTTCGGGACTACATTGGCGAAGTGACTGACTTTCAGTTCTCAGAAGATTGGGTGCGCGAACATGTGCCAGACTGAGTCCAAAGCGGCGGTCAAGTTTGGTTGGACTGTTGTACTTCCTTTGTACTTCCTTTGCTGTTTGACAAATTGTTTGAGTTTGACTGTCTTTGTTTGAATTGCTTGACAAAGAGTTGAGGTCATCAAGTTCTGCTTCTCGGCCGGATCGGAAGAGTTCATCCCAGCCGATGGCTTCGGGGAGTTGCCATTGGATGTCCAAAGTGAAATTGAAGCGCCTCCAAGGAGGCCTTGATTATGTCAGCACCAGATGTTTTTCTGCAGATTGTAACAGTGCTGAGTTCTGCTGAGTTGTGAGTTGTGATTGCGCCAGTGATTTGCCCATTCTGACAGCAATCATCCGCAATCATCCGCACTCCAATTTCTTCGCCAGGGACGTGGCCGAGACGCCTCCCGATGGTTTGCCAATGCTACTGACTGGCAGGGGCGCGAAGTTCCCAACGCAAATGCAGATGGCACCTGGTGTGGAAGAGGCAGCGGTAGAGTCTTCATTCATTGACCTCTTTGTTTGCAGACTAGTGCCTTTGTTTCATTGAACATGGTTTGATGATGTTTCATGAATGATGCTGTCATGATCTGTCATGCACTAGTTGTGCCTGCCAAGAAAGCATTGAGCAAACAGATTGACTCAGAGCCTAAACCATTTGTTAAAACTATTTGACAATCTGAAAAGTACAACATGTCATGTCGTGGTGACCTGAGTGGAGCTTTGCAGGTCCGCTGCCCACACAAGCGGTGCTCTTTGCGCATGGAAATCCTTCAGCGATCGGCCAATCATTCCTACACCATTCGAATCACTGGGCTGGAAGCACCTGCCTCACGCGCCAAGCAACCAATTGTCCCAGTCACATCCACGAGAAAAGTCAGCAGGAGCTGGTGTCCTACCTGTGCCAAGCCTTTGGAATTCCGAAATGAAGCTTGCACAGCCACAGCTGACCCACAGGCTCAACGTCCACGAGGAAGAGGCTATGCTTTTGTAGCCGTGCTCTTTGGACCAAATGAAGATATGCTCCAACGTTTCGTGCTAGGAGCTCTCGTTTTGGGACGTTCGTTGAAAGCCAACTCAACCAGTTTCGATTTGGTGCTTCTACACACCGCAGATGTCATGGGAGTGCCTGGGGCGGGCCTTCTGGAGGTCTTTTGGAAAACCCGTGAGGTGGACTACGTGGAGGTGAACCCGAAGCTCATTCGCCGAAGTGAGGATCGTTTCCGGCATGTCTTCACCAAGTTGCAGTGCTTTGGCTGCGATGACTATGAGAAGATTGTTTTAGTGGACATTGATCTCCTGGTGCGTGACAACATCGATGAAGTGAACGGATTCAAGCCACCTTGTGCCTTGCGAAGGGGTCACAAGAGTCTGCCATCAAATGTCGATGTGTCTTTGTCCTGCTATGACCGTCATGGAGAGCAAAAGTTTGGCATGAACCTCGGAGTGGCTGTGCTGAAGCCGAGCCGCGAGGAGTTGCAAAAGATGTTGAACTCGGTGCAAAGCCGAGATCCGATGCATGAAGCTTGTAATGGTCCCGAGCAAGATTTCTTGAGTCGTTGGTTCAAGAACTGGACCTCAATGAATTTGAAATACAATTACCAGCTCCACCAGTTGGCCAATTCCTTGGAGCATGAAGGCCCTGAAGCAGAGCGTCTCCAAGTGAAACTCGAAAATGTGAAGGTCTTGCATTACAGTGGCCAGGTGAAGCCATGGGATTTTTACTTTCACAAAGAGAAAGAGATGAAAGAGGAATTGCTGAGTTTCTCTTCCTTTTGCGATGAGAAGTTGCTGCCCGCATACAAAGCAAGAGGGGAAGATTTCGAGCACAAGATCCGGCAAGCAGCACTGGAATGGAAGGAACAATGCAAGGCGTGGTGCTCAGTTTCTACTCTAAAGTGCTGTGTTTGTGTGTGTGCGCTAGAATTAGAATCGAATCGCATGAATTCAGCTTGCTTTCAGTTCTGGGAACCAAGGCCATGTGGCAACATGTGCTCGCGCAAATAGATTGCAAGTTGTGCAAACTCTGTGGAGAGTCGGTCTCGGAGGTCTCGGAGATACAGCTTGAACATTGCTTCCTGTTATGCCCAGCCATCAGTGATCTTAGAGAGGCTGAGTTGACTCGGTTGACTGTGGAAGACGTAAAGTACCCAGAGCCACACGAATTCCGAAGAGTCCTGGCCTTCGTGGCCAGTGTTCTGGAACGCCACCGATGGCAGGCTGACTTGGAAAAGGCTGAGAGCTCTGACCAGGAGAGAGATGAGAGAGAGAAGAACGAGAAGAACGAGAAGAACGAGAAGTACGAGACCAAACAGGAGGAAAAGAACACAATTGAGGAGAAGAACAGGATTGCAGAAGGTCAACAAAGGCACAAGCCACAAGCTCCGCAATCTCTGATCTCCACAGCTTCCACAGCTTCCACTGCCCAACAAAAAGAACAGGAAGCAGTGCACAGCAAAACTCTTCATCTGGTCTTATACCCCAAGGGCCCCAAGGGCCCCAAGGGCCCCAAGAAGTACGACGATTCGCCTCTGGGTCGATTCAGAGACAAGATCCTGCAGGAGGTGGCTGCGAACCGTGTCACGATCATCGTGGCCCCCACAGGCTGTGGCAAGAGCACCCGTAGCTTGGACTGAAATGTTCAGGTGCAGATGATATGCCTTTCTTTCAAAACCTTTCTGATGGCACATTTACATAATTTTGTAATTTTGCATAATTTTACCAATGAAGATAAGCTTTACCGTAACTGTTTTAACATGTTTTAACATGTTTTACCTTGACTTTTCCTTGACCCATCTTGACCCGTGTTCCGAGGAATTCCGCAGATGATTCTCGATGAGGACCCAGCAGAGCGCTACATCTTGGTGACGCAGCCCCGCCGCGTCGCTGCGACGAGCCTTGCACGCCGAGTGGCTTCTGATAGAGGAGTTGCTCTTGGAACCGAAGTCGGTTACAAGATTGGAGGCCAGAATCGTGAGAGTCATTGCAAATCCCATCCGTTCACATGGATTACCATCATGTCTTGTGGCAGTCTGAGTGGAATGCAGTGAGAAATGAGTTCTGACTGTTATGGGTTCTTGAGGTTTTTGTGATGGATATATGCTATTTTAATCCATTTTACCAGTTTGAGTTGAGCGAAGTTGAGTGATTGTACAGGTTGCAGTGAGGTGAGTCGATCTGGTCGCACTCGGCTGATCTTCGCGACAACTGCCATTGCCATGATCCAGTGCCTTCAGGATTGCTCCTCATTCACCCATTTGATTATTGATGAAGTTCACATCAGATGCTGGATTGCAAGATAGAGCAGCACCTTAAGGTCGTCATGTTGTAAGCATGTTGTTGGATCCACTTGCACAGTGTCCACACATTACGCACACGAGGCACAAAGAATGGAGAACCACAATCTAAGGAGATGCGCACATTGATTTCCTGTTGAGTTTGGTGGTCACCCGTGTCCTGAAAGACAACAAGAAGGTGAAGGTCATTTTGATGTCAGCTGCCATGGACAGCAACACAATCGCACGCTACTTCTCACAGGTTCTGGATGGTGCCATCCCACGGCCGTTGGACTTGGAGCAATGTCGACAGTTCAAGCTCTCCATCAAATACCTCGATGACGAACCCTTCTTCAAACAGCGTGGAATCCATCGACGTGGATTGGATGGAGGTTGGGATGTCTTTGGGCTTCCAGCAGACTGGTCACAAGAGGAGGTCGCGGATTTGTATGCTGAGTATATCCGCACTTGTCATGAAGAACGGTCAGGGCAGAAGGATTTGGCATCATTCCTAGTGTTCTTGCCAGGCAAAAGAGAGTTACAACTGCTGTGGGAGAGGTTGGATGAGGTTCGCAATCTCAAGGTGAAGTGCATTTTCGGCGGGCAAACCATTGAAGAGCAGGAAAGAGTGTTGTCGGAATCGCAGGATCTGCAGGAGAGAACTGTGATTCTGGGCACTGATGTGATTGAAGCCCCGACCTCAGACTGATCCAAGTCAGGCTTCAGAGATCTTTGACAAGTAATTATGTCAATGTCTCACAATTTAAAGGCTAAGTTTGGCAGGCAGAGTAGACCTTTAAAGCCAGGAAAGGAGATTGAGATTCTGAATTCAACATGATCTAGCATAGCAATGCATAGCAGGCATAGCAGATTCAAAGCGTACGAATCTTGTGAGACTGATCAAACTCAGCTGATGTGACGTGTTCTATTTCTGGCTCTGACCCCATGCTGAGTCCTCCGTCACCATTCCAGACGTGGACTTGGTCATTGACACCTGTGAGCAAAAACGCCTCCGCTGGGATGGAGGAAAGAACCAAAGTTTGCTGACCTTGATTTTAGTGAGCAAAGATGAGGCCAAGCAACGCTCTGGAAGAACTGGACGAGTACGTGATGGTGAAGTTATTCGTTTGATTAGCAAAGAGTGCTTTGACAGGTTGCAGCCTCATGCCGAGCCGCAGATCAAGCACAGCAGGCAGGACTGAGGTTGATGCGTACGTAGAAGGCTACTGTTGAACTGACATCCGCTGCAAGAAATTGTTTGAAAAAACAGATGCTTCATTTGCACATGGGTGGTATGTGCAAAATTGACCATGTGATGTAGGTTGGAAGACCTGCTCTTGTCCCTCTTCGAATTGCCCAACCTGGGGGACCCACGTGAGTTTCTCCAGAAGATGCCGGATGCGCCTGACAAAACCCGAGTGAACCAAGCCATCACCAGACTGATGGAGCTCAACGCCTTGGCTAAGCAGAAAGGCCACCAGCCGAAGCCGACCTTCTTTGGACGATTTTTGCAGAAGATGCCCCTGGATCCTGACGCGGGTTTCCTGGTGATGAGCGGGGTTCGGCTGCAGCTGGTTCAGGACAACCTTTTGGCGGACTTTCTCCACATCTTCTTCTTGTACGTACTTTTTTGTGACATGAATATAAAGTTGAATGATTTAAATTGTGTATACTATATGCATGTATATATATATATATAGATAGATGAGTAATTCGTTGAGTCAAGCATTTCTTTTTTAAGATCTTTAAGTTGTTCTGTTCTTGGCAGTTTCCAGGAATGTGCCATCTTAGCGGCTGTTCACCAACGGGGAGACCCTTTCTTGGACGGCATGAATCTGAGCCCCGAGGAAGTGAAGAGTCTCTGGGAGGTGCGCGATGCCTGCAGCCCAGGCCGTGCCAGAGGTCGAGATCGTCAGTTGCCCGGAGACCTGATGGCTGGGTTCGGGGCCTACAAAGCCTGGCAAGCTCAAGTGAAGAATCAAACCAGCAGAGGCTGGAGTTGGAGTATCCAAGATGAAGCACGTTGGTGTGGTGAGCATTTCTTGAGCCTTGAGAGGTTACTTGAATTAGAGGAGATGGTGGTGCAGATCCGCGATGTCTTGGAAGAGCTGGGCTACGCTTCTAGCCTTTCCCCGGTAGACAAAGAACGAGTGAGACAGAGGAGGCAGGAAAAGGTGAGCACCACAGTGGCGCGAATTCATCCACGTATAGGTGCAGCCCAGGACTTGTGGCGTCTTTTGCACGAACAGCAAGATCGCAACACTGAGCTCATGTTGGCTTGGTGCATCGCATCCAGCTTCACTAGTGGCTTAATCGAAGTCAAGAACGGCTCCAGCACAGAGCAGCTGAAGTACAAGGGGAAGAAAGGGCGCTCACATGAGATTGGAGCTGTCTTGAAGCATCAAGGATTCCAGGTGAATCATGTGCAGATTTTGCTGAAAGGTGACGTGCAAGTGAGCTTTCAGAGCCCCGAGGAAGCCCACAAAGCTCATCAAGTCGCAGCGCTGCTGAACAATTCTATGCTGCCGTGGAAAGCCTGCGATCCATGGGGTAGGCCGCAGCAACGCACATCCATGCACCCCAGGCAATGCTACAATAATGGACCTCCCATCAAGATTCTTCCATCATCGCAAGCATGGCTGCCCACCACGGAAGATGCAGTGCCTGGACAACATTTTGCCCAAAGCTTCGCATTCACAAGGTAAGTGTTGGAAATTCGAAATTCTGTTACAGATTGTGTGCAATGTTTTGGCGGTTGACCCCAAATGCTGGCTGTTCACCAGAAATTGTAGTGTATGGTTCTGTCTTTTTCCCATGATGTGTCAGGAATTTTGGGGTTGCTATTCTTGAGGTACTTGTAGCTGGTGACGTTCTTCCAATCCTGAACCACAAGCGAACTTCGATGACGACTCTCGCCATTGCATTAAGCCCATGTGTCACTTGATTGAGCGCCAAGGGAGAAGACTTCTGTCACAGCTGGAATCCTCTACCTGGCTGCACAGTTGAGGTACTTCTGCACCAAGTGTAGCACTGTGCCCACTGGTATCATACCATTCATCCTGTGCGCGACCTACCCTGCGGCAACCGTCACTAAGCAGGCCATGGATCTGAAACCACTGGTCCAACATGGTCTGAATATTGAAAAAGGATGAATAAGGCCTGGTTTCCCCTGCTTGCTAGGCTGGGGTTTGGATCATCAGCACTATGATCCACGGAGAACGCCAAGATGAGAAGTACTCTGCACCCCCACAGAAGGCCAGGTAAATCAAGTCTCTCTGTAGAAAAGGGTTCGGGACGACTTGAGTACTTGCACAGGTTCATTTAGAAAGCTTGGCGTGGCAAGATGTTGGACTTGCTTGGAAGAAATTTGGCAGGTTGAGGAGTTGCTGGACAGCATCCGGAAGAAGATGGACACAGAATTTGGTTTGAATCCGCAACAAAGGCAGCGCATTGTTGAGGACTCATGAAAATAGATGACACTAACATACACTTACCATCAGTGTCAGGGTATGTTTCGGATGTCACTAGTTACACTAGTTGAAAAGCTGATGCCAGCTCTTGTGGAGGAGAGGAGGGCAAATGTACTTGAACTTATGAAGCTGTTGGATCAGTGCGCATCTCAGTTTTAACATCAGCGATTGCCACTTGTGACCGTGAGTGTTAATCCATCTCTGCTTTTTTACATCATCATGCTGCTCATTTTTTTAGGCCATTCTCAAAGCCTCCAATGCGATCGTTGGATCCAAAGCAGGGTACAGCAGCGCGCATGCGAGGCACAGCACGAGTTTAGGGGTGATGTGTAGCCACCAAGCAAACAGGAAGCATATAAGACTGTAGGGGTTGCCCACACTGAGGGGCCAATTTATTTTTGCAATTCCCACAACCTGAGTCACGCAACCGTTCTTGGTCATTTCGGTCTCTTTTCATCCATGGAGTTGCTTGCAGCCATCGGTCGCCAGGTCCAAACTTCGCCATGGATGCAGAGATTTCATCCCTCTTCGATTTGTTGACATAATTTGGACAATTTCCGCTTGTAAAGACTTTTGCTTGTGAACAGCCTCTATCACAGCAGAAGGTGTACTTGAACGAGTCAGCCGGGAGACTTGAGTTTGTGATAATTTTTTGTTCGTCTCATCGGGCAAAGAATTCCCTGATGATTTTGGGCTGCCAACGTGCGTTGTTTTTCTGTGTGCTCCCAGGCCTGACTCATGAAGACAGATTAAGACATTGTACAACTTGCATGGTGCTGCATGGAGCAACAAATTCGTCAGGACTTTGCTTTGCCAATTATGTTCCCTGACTTGGCAGAGGATCATTCTGACAGGTGTCGAAGGCTGATGGTTGCAGCAAAAGCCTGCAGAATCAGGGGAATGATTAGGTTCCCCCCGTCGGTCAGCGTGGAGTAGCTAGATTTCCCAGATCCAGGCATGTTGAGAGAAATTGATCTGGGAATGGGTGGTCCGCTAACATACATTGCTTGTCCACCTGGATGTCGATGAATTGAGGATTATGCGATTACGCTTGCTGTTTGAAAAGAATACTGATGAATTGCATCAAAACGATTGAACCTTACCCGCATTGTTTTATTTGATTCTTCATTGCTTATCAGTGAAGCGTTCCTTTAAATGCCTGACCCATAGAGCGCGTTTTCTCACCTTTTCCACATTTCGTGAGGTGGCTGCAATTGAGGATGGATGGAGAGCAGTTTGTAGAAGCAGCTGGGAACATCTGGAAAAAGGACGTTCAATAAGTATTATGAAATGGATATGTATTTCTTGCATTTTTGCGGTTGAATTTAAGGCGTTATATACATTCACGGAAATGATCGGTCCATTCCGTTCCAAGTTTTCTTCTTTCGTCGTCTATCCCTTATGTCCCTGGGCCATTTCTATCTGTATTACAAGCAAAAATTCAATTGTGAACAATGTGGTTGTTTATTCTGTTGTTATCCATATTGGGTATGCTGTTTTTACCACAGCACTCATAGGCGTTGACATGCCTATTCCGTGAAGTATTGGCTGAAAAGAGCCGCGGAGCGAGATTCATGAGGCGTTGAACACCCCTCCTTGTCCAATCGATTCCAGTGACTCTTCATATCCTACTTGAGCACTTCTACCGCTTGCACGGTAGCGGAGCCTGCCTACGGGCGGGCGTGAGACCAGGGACCTACAGCCTCCTATTGCCAGAGCCATAGGAGGAACAACATGGCGGAGAAGCAGAAAAGGATAGAGAAGACGCGAGAAGGAGTTCCCATTTGGGATGGAGATGCCGGAACATATCAGGAGTTTGAAGAGAGCGCTTTGCTGTGGGAGCAATCCATTGCAATGCACAAGCGCTACTTGTGCGGCCCGAGGCTTCTCACAGAGCTGACGGGCACTGCTCGCAGGTTCACTGTGGGCAAGCATCCCGAATGGCTCTCCTTCAATGGAGGCGTGCAGCGGCTTCTGACGTACCTGAGGTCAAACTTGGGCCTTCCACAGATGCCTGAACTGACGGATCATTTGAGCCGTTACTTCCGGCAGTCCAGGCGCAAGAAGGGGGAGACCATGAATGAGTACGTCACTAGAAAGTCAGAACTGTATGCAAGAGCTAGGCAAGGACTTCACAGGGTGATGTCTCACTATGAGAAAAAGAAGCCAGCGTGGGAGAAGAGCTACGGCGGCTATAGCCGTCCGGGGTCCACCGACCCTTGGGCCAACTACAGGAGGACACCCTCCCTGGCTGGCAGTCAGAACCTGAGTGCTGAGGAGATTCAGGATGATCGGGAAGCGCTTGCTCGACCTGATGATCAAGCTGAGGCCACCGAGGATGCAACTGAGGAGCGAAGCTCCACTGGTCCAGGTCCTTCAGGAGACTCCTGGAGTTATCCGGACTGGTGGTCAAATGACTGGTGGAGTACCTCTTGGACACCTTCCGAGAATGCCGACTGGAATGTGGAAGCCCCTGAACTACTACCAGAGTATGTCCAGGGCTGGTACCTCTTGTTTGATTCTGGCCTGGACACCAACGAGCGCAACATGGTCGTGGCAGCCCTGAAGGGCGACTTCACTATGACCCGAGTGGCACAGGAGCTACGCAGCCAGTGGACTGATGAGGACTTGCGACGTCGAGATGCAGCCAATCGTCACTCCAGCTGGTGGGTGGATGAGAATGAAGAGGCCGAGTCTGAGGACTATGACACTGCCTGGGTTGCCCAGGCTCACCGCAACTTCAATGACGAGGGCCTCGCACTCCTGGGTGAAGCTGAAGATGTGGCTCAAGAAGCCCTAGCCATGATGGAGCGCGGGCGTCGCACCTTGAAAGAGGCCAGACAGAAACAACATCAGGTGAGGATGTCCCGGAAGTATTACCGCACCAACTTCAAGCCCTTTGGAAGCACTTCGGCTGTAGCTTCTGGTACAGATCAAAAGTGCTTCCGATGTGGTGGTCCTCACAAGACTTCATCATGTCCAAAGGCAATGGCAACAACGACAGCCTCTTCAGCCGAAGAGCAGGCTGCACCTTTCATCTGTTTTGCACAAGACCAGATCACCAAGGACCATGAGATTGTGGAGCCCTATGTCCCGGACGACCACGAGGTGAACTACCTGGATGCTGGGTTCTCCGATGCTTGCCCAGAGGCCTTCTTTGATGTTGCCGACACCAGCAGCATAGGGCCTATCTCCACTCAGATGGCCGTCGAGCAAGGCAAGGCTGTCGTTGATGGAGGGGCTACAAAGACCCTTGGCAGCGTGGTGGCCCTCGAGAAGATCATTGCCCTCAACAAGTACAAGCATGGGACTTCTCGCCTGGCCGACCTTGACTTGGAGAACAAGCCTACGTTTGGTTTTGGAAATTCATCAAAGAACTAGTGCGTGTCCACAGCCTCACTCGAGGTTCAAGCCGATGGCAAACCTGGACAAGTACAAGTACATGCGTTGGATGCGGGAGCAGGACCTGTGCTGTTCTCCATTGAGTCCTTACGGACCTTGGGAGCAATCATCGACTTCTCCGAGGACATGGTCGTCTTCCGCAAGATTAACCCGTCCAAGATCATCAAGATGGAACGTTCGGCCACTGGCCATTAGCTGCTGCCCATGACTCAGGATTGGTACAGTGATGCTCAGAGCACTGCACAGCCAGTGCCGAGCCTGAATGCTTTCCTGTAGGGACAACTCCTTTCTTTCCGTGCGCCTGAGATGGAAAGGAAGGTCAGTAGCGATGTTTCAGGCACTTTTCACAACCCCTTGAACATGGTTGGTGATCCGAGCATTCATGATGGTGTTGGGTGTGTTGTTCATGACCATGTGTTGTTGATGATGAAAAACTTTCCCAGGGTTTTCATGGACATGTTGGAAAAATCTCAGACAGCAGTCAGTGTACAGAGCCAGAACAACCTCATCCTGCAGCTCTCCAGCACAAGCTAGACGAGATCCCCAACGAGTCAGTGAACAAGAGACATGCCTCGTGCCACCAGAAAAGAACTGGTGGAAGAGCTCCTGATGACCTTTGGCGAAACAGCTCCAAAACAGTGGAGCATCATGGAGATCGAGAGCCGCCTTTTGGAACTCAAGGAAGCCAACGGGATGATCACTCAAAAAGGGAAGGTACGGCCACCGATGCGCCATGCCATGATCGAGCTGAACAAGGCCAGCAAGAAGAAGTCCGACCTTGTGGACTACGTGAACAACAAGCTCATGGTGAAGACCCGCGGCACCGAGACCATTCAGGAGCTGCAGCGCTTGGGCACCAAGAAGATCTACCAGACCACAGCCGCCTCTCCGGAGGATCCTGTGGGGTTCGGGGAACACTGCAGTCTGCAGTACCACGAGCTTCTAGCCCAACACCCACAGTATGCCAGTTGGGTCGTGAAGACCGCCACCGAGGGGGAATGCGACTACCGCCTGGCCCGTCTGGCCAATTGGCTCCAGAGCCCAGAGGCACAGCATCCGATGCCGACCTACAAGCAGACCTCCAGCGGCTACAAGAACACATCGACGCCGGCCAGCGGCTCGAATGGCAAGACCGAGAACATGATGATGCAGATGATGCACGCCCTCAAGGAGGACGTGGGCAATCTGAAAGCCGAGAGGCCTCATAAGAAGGTCGAAGCATCCAGTGTCTCCGAGATGACAGAGTCATCCACAGGCTCTTTCGTGCCGATCCCACAGTAGCTTCAGCTGGGAGTGTAGAAAACTTTAATTTGTCACAGGCGGGAATGTAGGTCGACAGTGAGCTCTGGAGGGGCTCATGGGAAGCCTTACCTGAGCAAAAAGTAAGACACTTGTCCCATTGCAGTGACAGATTGATTTCGAATGCCTTTGAGGCCCTGCTATCACACCAGCGCATAGAGCTGCTGGAAGTGGCATGTTCGGCCGACAGCGTGCTGTCTCGCACCATGCAACAAAAGAAAGGTGACGAGGGTGCGGCCCGACGCTGCTCACTTTTCAATGAGTATGATTTAGGAACCAACCAGGGGATTCACAAAGTCATTCAAGATATTGACCATTATAAACCAAAACATGTTTGGCTTTCTCCGGTTTGTGGACCTTTTTCAGTGATGCAAAACATCAACCAGAGAAGTGAAGCTCAGAAGGAGGCCCTTTCTGAGAAGCGCAAAGCTGCCATGAAACAGTATGTCGGTTGCAGTGTCATATATACGTACTGTATTCAGCATGGTATACATGTCACTTGGGAATGGTCACAATTATGTCAGGCATGGAGGCTTCCAATGATGCAGGAACTGGTGAAGAAACATAATCTATGGTTTGCTGTGGTACGGGGTTGTCGTGTTGGTCTTGTTGATGATGAGAAAAACCCAATTTCGAAAGGCTGGAAACTCATGACCACTCATGCTTTGTTGGCAAAAAGGATGAACATGCCATGTAGCTGTGGGCCTCACCAGAAACATGTGAAGTGCGAGGGTTCCCTTACCAACAAAACTGCTTATTACACCCCCGAATTTGCCCGAAGGGTCTGTGATGCGTTGATTCATGGAGCGGAAGATGAAGACCTAAAAAGGGAGTTTGTGGGAGACCACCAAATTGGGGAAACTTTTGGTAATGGGATCAGCTGCAGTTGTCACCACATTCATGATTCTCAACATGGTTTTGTTTGCGGTTCATGATGAGCATGAAAGAATCAAGGGAACCAATCATGGGAAGTGTGACAGTAAGGGGAACCACGAAGTTCTGGTTGGGGAGGATAACCAACAAAGGGGTCAGGGTCTGACTATTGAAAAAATAAGAAAACGACTGTACCTCTTACATGCTGCCACTGGCCACGGGCCAACCAGACACCTGGTGCAAGCCCTGCGACGCAGGGGAGTGTCAGAGGATGAGCTCAGGGAAGCCGAACGTTTTGAGTGTTCAGTTTGTAAGGAACGGGGTAGACCGAAGCCACGACCTTTAGCCACCTTGGAGCCTCACCCCCCAAAATGGGCGTCTGTGTCAGGGGATATTGGGCACTGGGAACACCCACAAACTAAGGAGTCCTATCAATTTTTGATGTTCGTTGATGAGGGATGCCGTTTTCGTGTTGGAAAAATTGTTCTTACGGGGAAAAGAAGTCACCTTACTGCCAATCAGTTTGTTGAAACGTTTGGGGAACACTGGGTTCAGTATTTTGGTTTTCCTAATCAACTCAGGGTTGATCCGGATGGTAGCTTCAGGAGTCATGTGGTTCAAGAATACTGTGATAGGCACCAAATAATGTTGGACATTATTCCGGGTGAAGCTCACTGGAAGGTGGGCATTTGTGAACAGGCTATTCAGGGTACCAAGACTCTCATGAACAAAATAGCTGAAGATGACCCAGAAGTCACCGCAGCAGAAGCTCTGGCTGAAGCCACTAGGACCTTTAATAGCCGAGAACTGATCCGAGGCTATTCGCCCATCCAACATGCCCTTGGCCGCGCGCCTGATGCCACCGGGCGACTTTTCCCTTGCGGCCCAAGTGAATGTCCAGAGCTGCTGGTAGAGAACGCCTCTGGTGAGATGGATCGCCAGCTCCAGCGAATGCAAAGTGCGGAAAAGGCCTTCCTTGAATGGACGGCAAGCCAGAGACTCCAAAAAGCCAAGAACTCAAAACCCAGAGATATCACCAACTATGAGCCAGGAGACCTAGTGTATGAGTGGAGAAAGCAAGTGAGCGGCCAATCAGCCATTAAGGGTGGCTCGTTTGTGGGGCCAGCCCGCATCCTGGCGGTGGAGCAACATCGCTCTCCCGACGGGACCCACAAGCAGGGCAGCTCAATTTGGTGCGTCAGAGGGAGAAGACTTCTCAAGTGCTCCCCAGAGCAACTACGTCGAGCCTCCGAGCGGGAGGTCCTCTTAGAAGAACTACATGCCAAACAGTACGATGACTGGGACTTTGATAGAGTAGCTCAACAACTTGGAGGGAACGAGTTTCTGGATGTGTCCACCAGAATGGCAACTAATGAGAAGATGTACAAGAAAACGAGGCCCCATGATAGATGAGATGAGTGGTATGGGACCGGCTCCTCCAACATCCAGGCCAACAGGGCGATCCAGGAGTCCAACTTCCAGGCCTACGCCTTCTACATCCTCAGGAGCACCCGTGTCACAGAGGCCTCGAATATGTGCCCAACAAGGCATGGCTGCTGCCCCACCATGGTGGAACCAGTCAAGTATCCAGGAAGTGTTTGCAGTCACCGAGAGCACCTTCTGGATGGATGAGGCCGTGGCCGTGGAGGTTCCCATGCCAGACATACATGCTGGATCTGAACGAGCTCTTCGAGATCTCCCTTCTTATTTTGCCAGTAGCTTGAAGAAACGGTCAGCAGTTGAAGTCTGTGAGCGTTACCTATCTGAGGAAGAGCGACAACAGTTCCGATCTGCAAAGGCCGTTGAAGTGAGTAACTTTATAGCTGCCAAGGCTTTTGAAGCCCTTCCAGAGAAACTTCGCCCAGCACGCGAACAAGCAGTGAAGATGCGTTGGATACTGATATGGAAGTAGAAGGAGGATGGCAGCCGAAAGGCGAAAGCCAGAGCCGTCCTCTTAGGATACCAAGATCCATGCTATGAACAGAGAGCAACGACTTCTCCAATCACGACTCGCCAGACCAGGCAACTGCAGATGCAATTAGCCGCTTCATATCGCCACAAGATGCGAAAAGGTGATGTGATAGGTGCTTTCCTGCAAAGCAGGTCATACCCTGATGACCTTTTTTGTATACCATGCCCAGAGATCTGTGAAAGGATGGGACTCCCAGCAGAGTCAATCACCAAAGTGAAGAAAGCCTGCTATGGCTTAGTTGATGCGCCATTGGAATGGTATCGTTCCATTTCCGATTTCTTTACAAAACTCGGATTGCAAAAATGCTGGAGTGACGTATGCGTCTGGGTTTATGTGGTTGATGGGGTTACCACGGGGATTATTTCTGGTCATGTTGATGATTTCCTTTTTAGTGGGGATGAAACGCATGAGGGTTGGTGTACTGTTCTTAAGAGTATCCAAACGGAATATAAATGGGGAGATTGGGAAGCAAAAAGGTTTACCTAATGCGGAGTTCAAGTGGAACAACATGAAGATTTTTCTTTTTCGTTGTCGCAACCGAAGTATGTTGAAAATTTGAAATATATTAACCTGAGAGCCTTCAGGAAGAAAGACCGAAATGCACCCACTGAGGAGTCTGAGAAAACACAGCTTCGGGCCTTGCTGGGAGGGGTCTCATGGCACGCACAACAAGTTACGCCCCACGTCAGTGCTGAAGTCGGCTTGCTCTTGTCAGAGGTGAACAAGAGTACTTTAGAGACCATTTACAAGGCTAACAGGTTACTTGACAAAGTCACAGATATGAAAGAACACTGCATGAAGGTACATGCCATAGAACCACACATGTTGTCACTGTTTACATGGGTAGATGCCGTAGATGGCTCAAGCACACAAGGCATTATTGTTGGAATTTCATCTCACCGGTTACGTCATGGCAGCTGTGAACCAGTCACCTTTGTCGCCTGGCAATCGCAGAAGATTGGCAGGATCTGCCGCAGCCCCGGAGCAGCAGCAGCAGCAAACAACGGAGAAGATCTCCTCTTTTTTGCGAGATTCCAACTGGCAGAAATGATGGGAGCTCAAGTCAATGTGAGAAACATCAACAATGTCGTCAACCAGATCAGTGGATGCCTGGTTACTGACTCCAGGAATGTGTACGACAAGTTAGAGACCGAGGTCTTGTCCGTGAAGGGCGCTGAGAAGAGAACAGACCTGGAGTTACTCTCCTTGAAATCTGCCCAGATTCGCAATGCTGTGGAGATTAGATGGATTCATAGTGAAGCTCAGCTATCAAACGGGCTGACCAAGAGCAACGAGCACAAGCAACCGCACCTGTTCTACCGCATGGGCCACAAGTGGCGCATAGTCGAAGATGAAGAAAGAGCGTCAGCTCGGAAAAGGAAGCTGCTCGGCCTTAAGCCTCTTGAAAACAGAAAGAGTCAAGGGCCAGAAACCGAGCCGGAGACACCATGGAAACCCACGGAATGATTTTCGTCTTGTTTGGTTTTTTTTTGTCTTGGTTTTGGTTTTGGAAAAAGTTCAAGGGGTAGGTAGCATTACTATCTTACAAGGAGAAAGAAGATGCGGGCGGAATGCTGTTTTTACCACAGCACTCATCGGCGATGACATGCCTATTCCGTGAAGTATTGGCTGAAAAGAGCCGCGGAGCGAGATTCATGAGGCGTTGATTACCCCTCCTTGTCCAATCGATTCCAGTGACTCTTCATATCCTACTTGAGCACTTCTACCGCTTGCAGGGTATATCCATGCTGTAACCCAGGCCGCAACCAACCACGTTGTATTTGTACCACTGCGGTTACACATCCAATAAGCATATTTTGGTTATCTAGCTGTTTACAAAAGTGAAGCCCACACAAGGCGGTTTGCGGAAGTTTCCAGCACTCTTTGCTCAACTTTTCCTTACCTACTATGCTTACCTTATTTTGATTTTTCTCACCTCTTTTTACCTTTTACCTCTATTTACCTCTTCTTGACTTTTCTTACCTCTTGTCAGTTCTTCCCACCCCATCTTACCTCTTTTTAAATCTGTTCTATTATTCTTAACTCTTCTTGCCTCTTAAAATACTTATCCTTACTCAATCATTCCCAATGGAATGCGTGTGGTTAGGGATTGGATTGGGCCGGGAGTCAGTGGAACCCGGGGCATAAGCATGGGAGGTTTATATCTTGCCGCTACACTACAGGCGCTCTTAATCGTGAGATATTTATGGATTTGCCTGTTTTATTTTCTTTTTTGAAAGTTCTGCGCGCAAATCCTTTGATGAGTTTGTGGGGGCTTACCTCTTACCAGCTGCATCTTACTTTTTGTTTCTCATTGTTAAGTGACTTCAAACCCGGGGTTTTTGTTCCATTAGGATCTGTCAATTGGCTGTTTGGTTCAATGGCATGATTCTCGCTCCGGGTGCGAGAGGTCCTGGTTGTAATTCCCTTGCTTCTTTTACTCGGAAATGTTACAAGAAGCTTCAGGCACCAGTCTTAAGCGCGCTTGTTTGGATGCTTGGTTTCGCCTCTTCAAGATTCTTTTTCACGCGGTTTTGCTCCAGTCTTCCAGCCATGCCATGTGAGCATGCACTTCAGCTTTTTAGTTCCACGGGCAGCCTGTTGAGGCTGAGTTTCTCTTAGCTTTCAGATGCTGACTGTTGCCAGAATCGGCTATAGTCTAGCTGGTTTGGATACTCGGCCCTCACCCGAGTGACCCGGGTTCGATTCTCGGTGGCGGAATTTATGCACCTGCCCTTCGCAACTCCATGTTCAATTCACCTGCCTGGCATGCACAGCGGCATTTAGTGAGTCACAACCGCTCCAGCAATAGGATTGAGTAGGGCAGCCGCTTTTTTTCTGCCAAAAATAACCACCTCTGCAGAATTTCCCATAGGCACGGGGAACGAGTCCGAATGGTTGCGAACGGTTGGGGAAGTTGCGGACGGTTTTGGACGCGGACGCGGACGCAACGTCGAGCGAACACACCTTCAACCCCAAGTCCCCCAGACTGAAACGGAAACCTGGCTACGCATTCGGGACTAACAAATACCTCGCACTCGCATGTGGATCTGCAGCACGAGGAATCGAAGCAGCCACTTACCCACTCTGGCAAAGTGGTTGCACTGGCAGGCGCAAGATTCTTGCGACATTTTCAGAAGATGTATTGTAGTTTTTGTGGCAGGCAAGGTGTCAATTCCATGGCAGGCATGGCATTTTCTGACATGTGCTGAAAATTGACGAAAGTCTCACACGAAACATCGATTTTGAGGTTACAAATTTACGAGGAAGACCTCGGACGAACTGCTAGTTTTTCTCACCCACGTGTTGTCTCGGTCGCCGTGTGTCTGTGTCTCGGTGGCCGTGTCTGTGGGGGAAGGTGGAAACAATGACCGTTTCGAATTTTTCAAAGCAGGTTGCCTTTTTTTACTGTGGCTCACGTGACACTTTCTGACATACCACAATGTTTGATAACGTGTCCACAATGTTTGAAGTCTCGCACGAAATGTTTGTTTTGGTGCCCCCCTTGTTTCGTCTTGATTCTATGGGTTTCCTTTGGCGTCGCCATGTTGGTGGGGGGAAGCTCCGCACTCAACTCTCTACACTTCACAGACCACAACGCACTGTTTACTTTCTGGACTGCACAATCTTTTCTGTAAGCTCCACACTTAACACTTTCTTTGCGCTTTACACTCCCAACTCATCACCTGAAACTTTACACTCCAAAATGGATGCGCTGAAGCGGCCCAACCACTGACTTGATCCTGTCGTAGTGTGTGGGAGGGCGGAGGGTTTGCGACTGTGCAGATCTTGGTGGAATGAGCCTCTGGTGCAAATCTTGGTGATAGCAAATATTCAAATGATAACATTGCCGGCTAGTGTGTGGTGTGGAAAGAGTGGGTTGTCGAGTGTGGAGTGTGTGGAAAAAAATTTTATATTGTGATCTGGAAAGAGAGGAGTGAGAAGTGAAATGGTTGGGGTGTAACTTGTGGTGTGTAAATTGTGGAAAATGAAGCGCAAAGAGTAGAGTGCGGAGTGGAAAATGTCGAATGTGGTGTAAAATGAAGAGTGTTAAAAGGGTGCAGTGTGGAGTCTGGAAAATGCAGTGAATGTGTGTGGAGTGTGGGGTCTTGAGTGGAAAGTGTAAGTAAAGTGTAAAGAAGGGAATGTGGAGTCTACAGTGGGGACTGCGGAGTGTCAAGAGTAAAAGAGTGGAGTGTGGGGTGCAAAAGAGAAGAGTGTAGCGCAGTGTAAGGTGTAAAGAGTGGCGTTTGGATTGTGGAGTGTAAAGTGTGGAGTGTGCAGTGGAATGTTTGACTGTAAAGTGTGGAGTGTGAAGAAATGAGTGTGTGGTGTAAAGGGTGCAGCATGGGGTGTAAAGAGTAGGGTGTTGAGTGTAAATTGCAGAGTCAAAAGCAAGGGCCCCAAGAAGTACGACGATTCGCCTCTGGGTCGATTCAGAGACAAGATCCTGCAGGAGGTGGCTGCGAACCGTGTCACGATCATCGTGGCCCCCACAGGCTGTGGCAAGAGCACCCGTAGCTTGGACTGAAATGTTCAGGTGCAGATGATATGCCTTTCTTTCAAAACCTTTCTGATGGCACATTTACATAATTTTGTAATTTTGCATAATTTTACCAATGAAGATAAGCTTTACCGTAACTGTTTTAACATGTTTTAACATGTTTTACCTTGACTTTTCCTTGACCCATCTTGACCCGTGTTCCGAGGAATTCCGCAGATGATTCTCGATGAGGACCCAGCAGAGCGCTACATCTTGGTGACGCAGCCCCGCCGCGTCGCTGCGACGAGCCTTGCACGCCGAGTGGCTTCTGATAGAGGAGTTGCTCTTGGAACCGAAGTCGGTTACAAGATTGGAGGCCAGAATCGTGAGAGTCATTGCAAATCCCATCCGTTCACATGGATTACCATCATGTCTTGTGGCAGTCTGAGTGGAATGCAGTGAGAAATGAGTTCTGACTGTTATGGGTTCTTGAGGTTTTTGTGATGGATATATGCTATTTTAATCCATTTTACCAGTTTGAGTTGAGCGAAGTTGAGTGATTGTACAGGTTGCAGTGAGGTGAGTCGATCTGGTCGCACTCGGCTGATCTTCGCGACAACTGCCATTGCCATGATCCAGTGCCTTCAGGATTGCTCCTCATTCACCCATTTGATTATTGATGAAGTTCACATCAGATGCTGGATTGCAAGATAGAGCAGCACCTTAAGGTCGTCATGTTGTAAGCATGTTGTTGGATCCACTTGCACAGTGTCCACACATTACGCACACGAGGCACAAAGAATGGAGAACCACAATCTAAGGAGATGCGCACATTGATTTCCTGTTGAGTTTGGTGGTCACCCGTGTCCTGAAAGACAACAAGAAGGTGAAGGTCATTTTGATGTCAGCTGCCATGGACAGCAACACAATCGCACGCTACTTCTCACAGGTTCTGGATGGTGCCATCCCACGGCCGTTGGACTTGGAGCAATGTCGACAGTTCAAGCTCTCCATCAAATACCTCGATGACGAACCCTTCTTCAAACAGCGTGGAATCCATCGACGTGGATTGGATGGAGGTTGGGATGTCTTTGGGCTTCCAGCAGACTGGTCACAAGAGGAGGTCGCGGATTTGTATGCTGAGTATATCCGCACTTGTCATGAAGAACGGTCAGGGCAGAAGGATTTGGCATCATTCCTAGTGTTCTTGCCAGGCAAAAGAGAGTTACAACTGCTGTGGGAGAGGTTGGATGAGGTTCGCAATCTCAAGGTGAAGTGCATTTTCGGCGGGCAAACCATTGAAGAGCAGGAAAGAGTGTTGTCGGAATCGCAGGATCTGCAGGAGAGAACTGTGATTCTGGGCACTGATGTGATTGAAGCCCCGACCTCAGACTGATCCAAGTCAGGCTTCAGAGATCTTTGACAAGTAATTATGTCAATGTCTCACAATTTAAAGGCTAAGTTTGGCAGGCAGAGTAGACCTTTAAAGCCAGGAAAGGAGATTGAGATTCTGAATTCAACATGATCTAGCATAGCAATGCATAGCAGGCATAGCAGATTCAAAGCGTACGAATCTTGTGAGACTGATCAAACTCAGCTGATGTGACGTGTTCTATTTCTGGCTCTGACCCCATGCTGAGTCCTCCGTCACCATTCCAGACGTGGACTTGGTCATTGACACCTGTGAGCAAAAACGCCTCCGCTGGGATGGAGGAAAGAACCAAAGTTTGCTGACCTTGATTTTAGTGAGCAAAGATGAGGCCAAGCAACGCTCTGGAAGAACTGGACGAGTACGTGATGGTGAAGTTATTCGTTTGATTAGCAAAGAGTGCTTTGACAGGTTGCAGCCTCATGCCGAGCCGCAGATCAAGCACAGCAGGCAGGACTGAGGTTGATGCGTACGTAGAAGGCTACTGTTGAACTGACATCCGCTGCAAGAAATTGTTTGAAAAAACAGATGCTTCATTTGCACATGGGTGGTATGTGCAAAATTGACCATGTGATGTAGGTTGGAAGACCTGCTCTTGTCCCTCTTCGAATTGCCCAACCTGGGGGACCCACGTGAGTTTCTCCAGAAGATGCCGGATGCGCCTGACAAAACCCGAGTGAACCAAGCCATCACCAGACTGATGGAGCTCAACGCCTTGGCTAAGCAGAAAGGCCACCAGCCGAAGCCGACCTTCTTTGGACGATTTTTGCAGAAGATGCCCCTGGATCCTGACGCGGGTTTCCTGGTGATGAGCGGGGTTCGGCTGCAGCTGGTTCAGGACAACCTTTTGGCGGACTTTCTCCACATCTTCTTCTTGTACGTACTTTTTTGTGACATGAATATAAAGTTGAATGATTTAAATTGTGTATACTATATGCATGTATATATATATATAGATAGATGAGTAATTCGTTGAGTCAAGCATTTCTTTTTTAAGATCTTTAAGTTGTTCTGTTCTTGGCAGTTTCCAGGAATGTGCCATCTTAGCGGCTGTTCACCAACGGGGAGACCCTTTCTTGGACGGCATGAATCTGAGCCCCGAGGAAGTGAAGAGTCTCTGGGAGGTGCGCGATGCCTGCAGCCCAGGCCGTGCCAGAGGTCGAGATCGTCAGTTGCCCGGAGACCTGATGGCTGGGTTCGGGGCCTACAAAGCCTGGCAAGCTCAAGTGAAGAATCAAACCAGCAGAGGCTGGAGTTGGAGTATCCAAGATGAAGCACGTTGGTGTGGTGAGCATTTCTTGAGCCTTGAGAGGTTACTTGAATTAGAGGAGATGGTGGTGCAGATCCGCGATGTCTTGGAAGAGCTGGGCTACGCTTCTAGCCTTTCCCCGGTAGACAAAGAACGAGTGAGACAGAGGAGGCAGGAAAAGGTGAGCACCACAGTGGCGCGAATTCATCCACGTATAGGTGCAGCCCAGGACTTGTGGCGTCTTTTGCACGAACAGCAAGATCGCAACACTGAGCTCATGTTGGCTTGGTGCATCGCATCCAGCTTCACTAGTGGCTTAATCGAAGTCAAGAACGGCTCCAGCACAGAGCAGCTGAAGTACAAGGGGAAGAAAGGGCGCTCACATGAGATTGGAGCTGTCTTGAAGCGTCAAGGATTCCAGGTGAATCATGTGCAGATTTTGCTGAAAGGTGACGTGCAAGTGAGCTTTCAGAGCCCCGAGGAAGCCCACAAAGCTCATCAAGTCGCAGCGCTGCTGAACAATTCTATGCTGCCGTGGAAAGCCTGCGATCCATGGGGTAGGCCGCAGCAACGCACATCCATGCACCCCAGGCAATGCTACAATAATGGACCTCCCATCAAGATTCTTCCATCATCGCAAGCATGGCTGCCCACCACGGAAGATGCAGTGCCTGGACAACATTTTGCCCAAAGCTTCGCATTCACAAGGTAAGTGTTGGAAATTCGAAATTCTGTTACAGATTGTGTGCAATGTTTTGGCGGTTGACCCCAAATGCTGGCTGTTCACCAGAAATTGTAGTGTATGGTTCTGTCTTTTTCCCATGATGTGTCAGGAATTTTGGGGTTGCTATTCTTGAGGTACTTGTAGCTGGTGACGTTCTTCCAATCCTGAACCACAAGCGAACTTCGATGACGACTCTCGCCATTGCATTAAGCCCATGTGTCACTTGATTGAGCGCCAAGGGAGAAGACTTCTGTCACAGCTGGAATCCTCTACCTGGCTGCACAGTTGAGGTACTTCTGCACCAAGTGTAGCACTGTGCCCACTGGTATCATACCATTCATCCTGTGCGCGACCTACCCTGCGGCAACCGTCACTAAGCAGGCCATGGATCTGAAACCACTGGTCCAACATGGTCTGAATATTGAAAAAGGATGAATAAGGCCTGGTTTCCCCTGCTTGCTAGGCTGGGGTTTGGATCATCAGCACTATGATCCACGGAGAACGCCAAGATGAGAAGTACTCTGCACCCCCACAGAAGGCCAGGTAAATCAAGTCTCTCTGTAGAAAAGGGTTCGGGACGACTTGAGTACTTGCACAGGTTCATTTAGAAAGCTTGGCGTGGCAAGATGTTGGACTTGCTTGGAAGAAATTTGGCAGGTTGAGGAGTTGCTGGACAGCATCCGGAAGAAGATGGACACAGAATTTGGTTTGAATCCGCAACAAAGGCAGCGCATTGTTGAGGACTCATGAAAATAGATGACACTAACATACACTTACCATCAGTGTCAGGGTATGTTTCGGATGTCACTAGTTACACTAGTTGAAAAGCTGATGCCAGCTCTTGTGGAGGAGAGGAGGGCAAATGTACTTGAACTTATGAAGCTGTTGGATCAGTGCGCATCTCAGTTTTAACATCAGCGATTGCCACTTGTGACCGTGAGTGTTAATCCATCTCTGCTTTTTTACATCATCATGCTGCTCATTTTTTTAGGCCATTCTCAAAGCCTCCAATGCGATCGTTGGATCCAAAGCAGGGTACAGCAGCGCGCATGCGAGGCACAGCACGAGTTTAGGGGTGATGTGTAGCCACCAAGCAAACAGGAAGCATATAAGACTGTAGGGGTTGCCCACACTGAGGGGCCAATTTATTTTTGCAATTCCCACAACCTGAGTCACGCAACCGTTCTTGGTCATTTCGGTCTCTTTTCATCCATGGAGTTGCTTGCAGCCATCGGTCGCCAGGTCCAAACTTCGCCATGGATGCAGAGATTTCATCCCTCTTCGATTTGTTGACAAATAATTTGGACAATTTCCGCTTGTAAAGACTTTTGCTTGTGAACAGCCTCTATCACAGCAGAAGGTGTACTTGAACGAGTCAGCCGGGAGACTTGAGTTTGTGATAATTTTTTGTTCGTCTCATCGGGCAAAGAATTCCCTGATGATTTTGGGCTGCCAACGTGCGTTGTTTTTCTGTGTGCTCCCAGGCCTGACTCATGAAGACAGATTAAGACATTGTACAACTTGCATGGTGCTGCATGGAGCAACAAATTCGTCAGGACTTTGCTTTGCCAATCATGTTCCCTGACTTGGCAGAGGATCATTCTGACAGGTGTCGAAGGCTGATGGTTGCAGCAAAAGCCTGCAGAATCAGGGGAATGATTAGGTTCCCCCCGTCGGTCAGCGTGGAGTAGCTAGATTTCCCAGATCCAGGCATGTTGAGAGAAATTGATCTGGGAATGGGTGGTCCGCTAACATACATTGCTTGTCCACCTGGATGTCGATGAATTGAGGATTATGCGATTACGCTTGCTGTTTGAAAAGAATACTGATGAATTGCATCAAAACGATTGAACCTTACCCGCATTGTTTTATTTGATTCTTCATTGCTTATCAGTGAAGCGTTCCTTTAAATGCCTGACCCATAGAGCGCGTTTTCTCACCTTTTCCACATTTCGTGAGGTGGCTGCAATTGAGGATGGATGGAGAGCAGTTTGTAGAAGCAGCTGGGAACATCTGGAAAAAGGACGTTCAATAAGTATTATGAAATGGATATGTATTTCTTGCATTTTTGCGGTTGAATTTAAGGCGTTATATACATTCACGGAAATGATCGGTCCATTCCGTTCCAAGTTTTCTTCTTTCGTCGTCTATCCCTTATGTCCCTGGGCCATTTCTATCTGTATTACAAGCAAAAATTCAATTGTGAACAATGTGGTTGTTTATTCTGTTGTTATCCATATTGGGTATGCTGTTTTTACCACAGCACTCATAGGCGTTGACATGCCTATTCCGTGAAGTATTGGCTGAAAAGAGCCGCGGAGCGAGATTCATGAGGCGTTGAACACCCCTCCTTGTCCAATCGATTCCAGTGACTCTTCATATCCTACTTGAGCACTTCTACCGCTTGCACGGTAGCGGAGCCTGCCTACGGGCGGGCGTGAGACCAGGGACCTACAGCCTCCTATTGCCAGAGCCATAGGAGGAACAACATGGCGGAGAAGCAGAAAAGGATAGAGAAGACGCGAGAAGGAGTTCCCATTTGGGATGGAGATGCCGGAACATATCAGGAGTTTGAAGAGAGCGCTTTGCTGTGGGAGCAATCCATTGCAATGCACAAGCGCTACTTGTGCGGCCCGAGGCTTCTCACAGAGCTGACGGGCACTGCTCGCAGGTTCACTGTGGGCAAGCATCCCGAATGGCTCTCCTTCAATGGAGGCGTGCAGCGGCTTCTGACGTACCTGAGGTCAAACTTGGGCCTTCCACAGATGCCTGAACTGACGGATCATTTGAGCCGTTACTTCCGGCAGTCCAGGCGCAAGAAGGGGGAGACCATGAATGAGTACGTCACTAGGAAGTCAGAACTGTATGCAAGAGCTAGGCAAGGACTTCACAGGGTGATGTCTCACTATGAGAAAAAGAAGCCAGCGTGGGAGAAGAGCTACGGCGGCTATAGCCGTCCGGGGTCCACCGACCCTTGGGCCAACTACAGGAGGACACCCTCCCTGGCTGGCAGTCAGAACCTGAGTGCTGAGGAGATTCAGGATGATCGGGAAGCGCTTGCTCGACCTGATGATCAAGCTGAGGCCACCGAGGATGCAACTGAGGAGCGAAGCTCCACTGGTCCAGGTCCTTCAGGAGACTCCTGGAGTTATCCGGACTGGTGGTCAAATGACTGGTGGAGTACCTCTTGGACACCTTCCGAGAATGCCGACTGGAATGTGGAAGCCCCTGAACTACTACCAGAGTATGTCCAGGGCTGGTACCTCTTGTTTGATTCTGGCCTGGACACCAACGAGCGCAACATGGTCGTGGCAGCCCTGAAGGGCGACTTCACTATGACCCGAGTGGCACAGGAGCTACGCAGCCAGTGGACTGATGAGGACTTGCGACGTCGAGATGCAGCCAATCGTCACTCCAGCTGGTGGGTGGATGAGAATGAAGAGGCCGAGTCTGAGGACTATGACACTGCCTGGGTTGCCCAGGCTCACCGCAACTTCAATGACGAGGGCCTCGCACTCCTGGGTGAAGCTGAAGATGTGGCTCAAGAAGCCCTAGCCATGATGGAGCGCGGGCGTCGCACCTTGAAAGAGGCCAGACAGAAACAACATCAGGTGAGGATGTCCCGGAAGTACTACCGCACCAACTTCAAGCCCTTGGAAGCACTTCGGCTGTAGCTTCTGGCACAGATCAAAAGTGCTTCCGATGTGGTGGTCCTCACAAGACTTCATCATGTCCAAAGGCAATGGCAACAACGACAGCCTCTTCAGCCGAAGAGCAGGCTGCACCTTTCATCTGTTTTGCACAAGACCAGATCACCAAGGACCATGAGATTGTGGAGCCCTATGTCCCGGACGACCACGAGGTGAACTACCTGGATGCTGGGTTCTCCGATGCTTGCCCAGAGGCCTTCTTTGATGTTGCCGACACCAGCAGCATAGGGCCTATCTCCACTCAGATGGCCGTCGAGCAAGGCAAGGCTGTCGTTGATGGAGGGGCTACAAAGACCCTTGGCAGCGTGGTGGCCCTCGAGAAGATCATTGCCCTCAACAAGTACAAGCATGGGACTTCTCGCCTGGCCGACCTTGACTTGGAGAACAAGCCTACGTTTGGTTTTGGAAATTCATCAAAGAACTAGTGCGTGTCCACAGCCTCACTCGAGGTTCAAGCCGATGGCAAACCTGGACAAGTACAAGTACATGCGTTGGATGCGGGAGCAGGACCTGTGCTGTTCTCCATTGAGTCCTTACGGACCTTGGGAGCAATCATCGACTTCTCCGAGGACATGGTCGTCTTCCGCAAGATTAACCCGTCCAAGATCATCAAGATGGAACGTTCGGCCACTGGCCATTAGCTGCTGCCCATGACTCAGGATTGGTACAGTGATGCTCAGAGCACTGCACAGCCAGTGCCGAGCCTGAATGCTTTCCTGTAGGGACAACTCCTTTCTTTCCGTGCGCCTGAGATGGAAAGGAAGGTCAGTAGCGATGTTTCAGGCACTTTTCACAACCCCTTGAACATGGTTGGTGATCCGAGCATTCATGATGGTGTTGGGTGTGTTGTTCATGACCATGTGTTGTTGATGATGAAAAACTTTCCCAGGGTTTTCATGGACATGTTGGAAAAATCTCAGACAGCAGTCAGTGTACAGAGCCAGAACAACCTCATCCTGCAGCTCTCCAGCACAAGCTAGACGAGATCCCCAACGAGTCAGTGAACAAGAGACATGCCTCGTGCCACCAGAAAAGAACTGGTGGAAGAGCTCCTGATGACCTTTGGCGAAACAGCTCCAAAACAGTGGAGCATCATGGAGATCGAGAGCCGCCTTTTGGAACTCAAGGAAGCCAACGGGATGATCACTCAAAAAGGGAAGGTACGGCCACCGATGCGCCATGCCATGATCGAGCTGAACAAGGCCAGCAAGAAGAAGTCCGACCTTGTGGACTACGTGAACAACAAGCTCATGGTGAAGACCCGCGGCACCGAGACCATTCAGGAGCTGCAGCGCTTGGGCACCAAGAAGATCTACCAGACCACAGCCGCCTCTCCGGAGGATCCTGTGGGGTTCGGGGAACACTGCAGTCTGCAGTACCACGAGCTTCTAGCTCAACACCCACAGTATGCCAGTTGGGTCGTGAAGACCGCCACCGAGGGGGAATGCGACTACCGCCTGGCCCGTCTGGCCAATTGGCTCCAGAGCCCAGAGGCACAGCATCCGATGCCGACCTACAAGCAGACCTCCAGCGGCTACAAGAACACATCGACGCCGGCCAGCGGCTCGAATGGCAAGACCGAGAACATGATGATGCAGATGATGCACGCCCTCAAGGAGGACGTGGGCAATCTGAAAGCCGAGAGGCCTCATAAGAAGGTCGAAGCATCCAGTGTCTCCGAGATGACAGAGTCATCCACAGGCTCTTTCGTGCCGATCCCACAGTAGCTTCAGCTGGGAGTGTAGAAAACTTTAATTTGTCACAGGCGGGAATGTAGGTCGACAGTGAGCTCTGGAGGGGCTCATGGGAAGCCTTACCTGAGCAAAAAGTAAGACACTTGTCCCATTGCAGTGACAGATTGATTTCGAATGCCTTTGAGGCCCTGCTATCACACCAGCGCATAGAGTTGCTGGAAGTGGCATGTTCGGCCGACAGCGTGCTGTCTCGCACCATGCAACAAAAGAAAGGTGACGAGGGTGCGGCCCGACGCTGCTCACTTTTCAATGAGTATGATCTAGGAACCAACCAGGGGATTCACAAAGTCATTCAAGATATTGACCATTATAAACCAAAACATGTTTGGCTTTCTCCGGTTTGTGGACCTTTTTCAGTGATGCAAAACATCAACCAGAGAAGTGAAGCTCAGAAGGAGGCCCTTTCTGAGAAGCGCAAAGCTGCCATGAAACAGTATGTCGGTTGCAGTGTCATATATACGTACTGTATTCAGCATGGTATACATGTCACTTGGGAATGGTCACAATTATGTCAGGCATGGAGGCTTCCAATGATGCAGGAACTGGTGAAGAAACATAATCTATGGTTTGCTGTGGTACGGGGTTGTCGTGTTGGTCTTGTTGATGATGAGAAAAACCCAATTTCGAAAGGCTGGAAACTCATGACCACTCATGCTTTGTTGGCAAAAAGGATGAACATGCCATGTAGCTGTGGGCCTCACCAGAAACATGTGAAGTGCGAGGGTTCCCTTACCAACAAAACTGCTTATTACACCCCCGAATTTGCCCGAAGGGTCTGTGATGCGTTGATTCATGGAGCGGAAGATGAAGACCTAAAAAGGGAGTTTGTGGGAGACCACCAAATTGGGGAAACTTTTG